AACGTCGTTGTCGATAGGCATTTGACTTCGTGCAATAAATTTGCAAGAGGGATTTTGTCTGACTTGGAGCATCCACTTTACCGCCAGCTTTCACCTTGCATCTCCTCAGGTAGAACAAGAAGTAACTTCAGAAAACTGTATGCTCGCATGTCTGAGTATAGAAATTCTATGATACCATACTTGGCACGTATTTTATGTGATGAAAATAGTGTCAGGCAAGAATTAACTAAACTTTTTTCGTCTGGTAAATAAACAATTTCCTCCATCCATTCTTATATACTTTCAAGTTTTACTTTTATTATTTCTATTATATTTATGGTCCTGTTGCTTCTTTGTTTTACTCTCATAATTGCAAACACCAACTTATCTCTATGACTGCTGTAATCTTTATTTTCTCCTCACCATATCACGTAAAGAAAACATAACATTCAATATTTTTAAACATGCTAGGATTTCTATACCGAATTGACAATACTGTGTGAACAAGCCCACGGCAATTTTCACTTGTATTATTATTATTACCTTAGCTGTTATCATTACTACTATTTCCATTTTATATGCTGAATGTTTTTGACATTAACCCTATTGTAAACGTGAAAAATTTTCTTTGTGATTAATTTTATTTATAATTTCAGGAAATTAGATGCCATAATGTGATTAATGCAGAAAATTCTATTCTGTATCACAAGTACTGCTTTTGGAATAAAGTAAATTATTATTATTATTATTATCTACCTTCAGTTTAATACAGTCGACCTAGGAAGTGGAAGTTAGCACCTTATTTTGAATGGTAATTGGTGTGCAGGTTAATTCTACAGAATCATTCACGGCAATAAGATCTAACTGAAAGCACCATCCTGTATTGTTTTAAAATGGAGGATGATTCCAGAATACTCCGACAATACCTGTAGCGCCTCAAATCTTGAGAATCACAGAGTGATCAAAACGTCGACCTTGAAAGTGCATTGCAGTAAATATATTTATGGACGCATAGAATGGAGACGGATGAGTACTATTTGGGTGGGGAAACTATCAACAAAGTGTTAAGAAGAAAGGACCTTCGTATCAATTACCGTGACCTGCTAAACACCGTCCCTACTCACAAAGAGATGAAATGAAGAATAAAGGTCATTTTTGATTCTTATTGCGAGTAATTCAGTGCCTCATGTTTAGCTTCCAGAGGCTGGGGTGTTGATGATCATAGATACTACGAAGTAAACTAACACAAGAACTTATGCCCTCAGCTTCTTTAGTATTCGTTCCGAATAAAGGAAAAACGAAGCAAAACATCAGATTGATCGTCCAAAATGCGCAGTAAATTTCTGGACTGAATTCGTAGTGTGAGGATGATCGCTGAACTAGTTAGAGGTCGTGCACAAACAACCGGACGTAACATGACAGCGTGCCGAATGGCATGGATGCTTGACATCGAGCCTTCAGCTAAACAAGTAGACTTAAACGACGAGGGCCAGCATACAATGTTCAGTGATAAATGTTGTGACTAGTAATTCTGGGGAATTTTCTACTGCAACATGCTGTTTATTATCCTACAGAAGTACCTTTATGCAGTCCTGGAATATCCTCACAGTTTTTATTTCTCAAACAGTGCAGAACAACCTTTAGTTGGGCAATGTAAACCAAGTTACAGCTACGAGTAAAGACAGGGAACTGTTATTGGCATAAAGCTCAGAGCAATTTTAATGGAAATCCAATTGATTCGTAACAATACATATATACAAATATGCAATCTTTCAGTTCATTCTTACATCTGTCAGTATAAATCAGATATGATGGCTACTTTACAAAGAAGAACTCTTAATATTGGTTTCAAAAACAAATAATAATATATATTTATCATGACGAAAATTATGTCGAATAATATATGGTACAAGAACAAATACAAAATGGAACGAACTCACCGGGGTTATCTGCGGATTTATCGTGGATGAAGTTCGCGGTTGGGCTTACCAGTTTAGAGGTTGACGGAATTCTCTTACACAGCCTCTAACTTATTAGTTCTCGCGTACCAAAGACAAAGCAAAAGCCAATTTTTGATCGTCCAAACTACGTGATATATTTCGGGGCCAAAACAAGCCGTCAGACGAACGCTTAGCTGGCTAGTGATCGTGCACGTGACACGACGGGGTACCAAGTGGCGGGGATGCTTGACCGGAAGCCTTCAGCTAAACATGGCATTGCGGGATGCCATATTGCAAGATACAGTAACCGAGTGTTTATAAAAAACAACTCAGAAAATTCTAGATATTGTATGTTATATATCATGGAAATTTAAAGGGCACTGGTGATTTTACAAATCATATATCTTTTTATCCTCTAACTCAGCCTTTTAATTATTTATCAGCCGAATAGCTGTTAACTTACCTTGTTTCTTTATCGCACTCATTCTACTTTTTTTAAATGACTCATCTGCTTCATAACATATAACTCATTATGTTATTTTTATCTGAGAAACTATCCACAAAGCGGCTACAGAGAGATGTCCAATCCTGTCAGAAGTCCATTATTATTATTATTATTATATCCTTTAATTCCTAGAGGAACATAGGGCTTCAACCGCACGTCTCCATTGCCTTCTGTTTTCTGACAACTTTTTCACTCCGCTCCAGGTCTGTCCACATGCTTTCATCTCCTCCTCGCATGACCTCCTCCAAATCGCCCTTGCACTGACGACCAACTCGCCACACCCCTTTCGGGTTCCACTCGAGCGATGGCTTGTCTAGTGATGTCACTTGATGGTTTGTTTCCTCAGCGTATGGCCAATCCATCTCCATTTCTTCTTGCCTATTTGTTTCACAATCGGTTCCTGCCATGTTGGTTCGCTCATTGCCAGAGATCCCTGTTTCTGATCTTTTCTGGCCGGTCATCTGATCTTGAGTATTGAGCGAAGACAACTGTCAATGGAGGTCTGTAATTTGTTTGAGATGCTCTTTATGACGCCCCAGGTCTCTGATCCGTATAGTAGCACTGACTTCACATTGAAGTTGAAAATCCGGATCTTATTTTCATTTCCATGCTGAGTGCTGCTGACCTCCACAGAGACTTAAGAGTAATGAGTTTGTCTTGCTTTTCCAATTCTAGCTTTGATATCCTCATCAGTTCCGCTGGCCTGTAAGTTGAAACGATGCTTCTCAATTAGGGTAGTTGTAGGAGGTTGTTTCTTTCAGGTTCCTCCCATTTATGCTGGCTGATTGTTGTCTGTTGTTGTTGCTGTCGCTGTTGGCCAGGAATCTTCATCACCTCTGTTTTATCTATGTTCACTTGAAGTCCTATCTTTGATGCTTTTCTTCTGCCAGCTTGTTGTTTTTCACTTGCATAAACCCATATATTTTACAACTCATAATTTACAGATACAGAACATCTGAAAGAATATCTTTTTTGTTAACCTCAGGAAAGTCGAAGAAATAAAAAGTAGGGAGATGGAAGTTTAGCTCTCACTGACAGATTATTTAGAAGAATACGGAGACCTGAGCATAAGATGATAGACTAATGATTCCGTGTTTTGATCAGTAAATATTCTTCTGCTAACAGTTACTTCATCAATTTGCAGTGCCTTCTCTTATCACTAAAAAAAACTTCCACTAAAACAAATCAGTTAAACAGAAATAGCTAAATAAACTGTTAGTTGGCCTCTGGAGACTTTAGATGTTATACGTTATCTTCTGACAAAAGTGCATTGACATCATTTTGTGCTTCCTTTGTGATAGTTAACATTCATGGTCCCTGTGTTGCTAGCTTAATCGCCAATAGTCAGATAAATTGATGCATTTTTGTGCAGAAAATCAAAATAACTTCTAATCTCTCAGTCTTGAAAGAGTTATTCCCTTATGTGCGTCGATGGCACAGTGGTTAGGACTCTCGCCGACCATGCACATGGTCCGTGGTTCGAGCCCACGCCGACGCACGCCTGATATCTATGGTCGGCCTGCTAAATTCGGGCTGCCAATATCCACGCTGAAAATTCCACACTCGTACCAAAAATACGGTGTGAAATCAAGTTGTAATCAAAAAATATGTAAAAAATATAATCTATAAGCCACTGATTACTTAGACACAAGTGAACTTCTGTTTTAATAGGACAGATGGGTTGTTACACAACATCAACACAGTCAGCCCCTGTAAATTTCCAGCTCTAGTTCAACTCAACTAGTACTCTATCTTGTCTAGACTATGAGAATTATGTGTTACTTGTTCCCTGACAGATTATTTCATACAAATGGACGTCAGTCAGTTGAACAAATCTAGGAAGAAAAGAAAATTACAACTGACTTCGCTGCCAGACGGTGGATGTGAGAACTGCAAGATATTCGTTTCTTTTTTAAAGGATATGCTTTTCAATATGAGAAGGAAGTTCGATAATTTTAACTGGTGTCCATTATAAGTATCTATAGTCAGTATACTGTTGTGAAGGTGTACCGCTTATTTTGTAAAGCCCCACTTTCAATTAGGCAGAAAAAGATAAAGAGAAGTCAGTAAGTAAGAAATTAGAAGTTTATTGAATAAAGTATCACTATTCGTTTATAATGAAGCATTTTACAGATTGCTACAAGTAAAAGATGTCATAAGAGAAGGCTAAACAATTATAATATCCATAAATTTACCTGATAGGCTTTCTCGATGGTAATAAGAATAGTACTGCCATGAGAAACAAGGCTAAATAGTCCAATGAATATATATATATATATATATATATATATATATTCGAATGTGCATGGAGATTTTGTTACAAGAATAAATTGGTGTTCATGAAGAGAGTAGAATATATATGAAAGCTCTATTGTTTAGAAGTCAAAAGAAAATAAGGTGGCAAATAAATTAATTTGTTTGCTAGTAGTCGGTCTCCTCAAATAAAATATCGATATTAGTCTAATGATGGTGTATCTCGATGAAAGCATATACTCTTCAGCATTGTTATGTAGCATAAAACTTGTCTAATTGTATAATATACATACATACACAATAATAATTATGCATAAAGCTGTTTAGAATGCACTAAAATTAATACTCTCTCGTATACCCATACACTGTACTTCATCAATGAATAATGTTGCTGCTTTAATTTGTATCTCTTCTTCTAAATCCAACTGACGTCGACATAATCCTTTCAAGGAAGCATGTGCTGCATATAATCGTTGTTTCAGTTGTTCAATATCACGATTTATTTCATCAACTTCTTGAGTTAATCTAAGGTAAATAAAGATTGTGGTTAGGCTAGTTTATAATAATTTTAATCGAATAGTCTATAATAATAGTAAAGCGCATCCTAGTTTTACTTGATTATATTAGTTTTGCGGAATGATGTGGTGGCAGTTGGGTGGATAGTAAGCAATATCTTGTAGTTTTAGTCATGAACTAAAACTTCAACGACAAAGCGGGCAACAAAAGTCAACTGAAGGAGGTAATGGCTGAAAAGAGTCTCTTCTTTAAAGCTGCACAGTAGTACTTGTATTTAATGGTGAGTCTATTAGACTCAATGTGATAATTGTGGTGTACTCTGAAACTAAGTGCTATTTTTATTGTATCTATCAGTAGACGTAGCTATGCATTACGAAGGTTTTTAGCATATATTTTTATCAGTTAACTACGTTTGTCTTCTTGAGCCTCCCTATCAGAGGGAAATTCTTAATTACAAGAGCAGTTGGTATGATTTCAGTTAACCATTCAACAAGGTTTCTGTTATACAGTGTAACTTAAAAATTGAATAGAATTCGCCGTCGTCCCAAAACACAAAATTCACTAATTTAGGAAGAAGCTTGAAAATTCCTCCTCACATAGTTAAATGTCATTGCTAACCGCTTGAAAACAAGTCGTTCTGCCTTACTTGAGAACTTTGTTATCATGAAATATTAAATCTAGAGCCATTAGATTTAAAAGCAAATGAGTTGCAGCCCATTCACTGCTTTAGGATTCAACTAGTCATTATTTCTAAGGCATGCCAATCCATGGTATAGTCCTAACATCAATCATTGAAATCGGAAGCTTATATTTCTCACAGCTAACTTCATTGATCCTCCTTGCTGATATTTTTCGTTGAAGTTACTGGATATCCACCAAGAAAAAAAACTTATTTGTCTAAAAACTACCTAAAATCACCGAGCACTGGACTACTGTTTTGTCATTTTATCTTTAAAAACAAAGGATTCAGCGAAGAAAATTCTCTTTTCAACGATCTCATTTTCATAACACTGACTTCAGGTTGTTGAACGCATTCTTTAACCAATACCTGCATTTTAAGTAACCGATCAACTACTAGACTGTTTTAGATTGTCTTCTATGTATTAAGAAGTATTTCTTGCTGTTCATAATCTCTTACCAATGAAATATATGACGCATCTTCAGTTTATTAAAACATCAAAAGAAGCAGTTGATTGCGCTTCACATAACCTGGTGTAATGATCAAATGTTCATATATATATATATATATATATATATATATATATATATATCTGTCACTACTCTTACCGATAGTTAGCTGGATCACGACACAATTCAATATTTGGTCTTTCTTTACGTATGCCTAAACGTGTTCCCGCCAAACGAAGAGCTCCATCCTTGTCTTTAATGGCTTTATCCAATTCATATAAAGTGTCTTCAACATTAGAAATTTCTTTAATAACCTGAATAGGAGCAAATTAATTAAACAAAGCAAATAAGTATACATTTATATTGGGTCAGTGTGTATACGTGTTAAGATATGCAGAAGTTCACAAAATGGCGTATTCGGTGTAATTTTGAAATGAACTAATGGAAAAAATTTTTTTTATATGGAAAAACACTAAAAGGTATCATGTCTACGCGACATTTCCATTTTTCAGCAGTTAACGTTAATTATATATATATATATATATTGGTTTTGTAGGGATTTTGTTTGATTGCATGGAGGATTTAATTGGCAGAAGTTAGAATTCAAGGACCATTGGATCGGGTCCCAGTGGCTCAATGGTCTACGAGCTCGCCTTGTAACCAGAAGGTCCTGGGTTCGAATCCCGGTGGGTGCGTACTGCTGAAGAGTCCCAAACTAGGACGAAACAGATGTCCAGTACTCCCAGGTTTTCCAGTGGTTCTCAAACATATATATATATATTTCTCGCATTCGAAGGGCTTTGGTCCTTGGAGTTTCACCAGCAGTGGTGCTGCTTTATGATGTAAGACTGTTAACTTCACGGCCAACTGTTACTCTTTTAAGGGTATATTATCAACTGGTAGACTAAGCAAGGCTTAGAAGTGCGTTGGCTGGGAATCACACCTCAACCATGCGCGTGGTTTGCAATTAATCCACTAATGAATCACTAACTCAACCATCTGCATATTTGGATTAATAAGAGACAAGAAGAAATGAATAAAAATCACCGGATGCTGGTGACATCATATTAAAGTAAGGTTAAATCATTGCATATAGAAATATTGTTACATGACTGAGGAAAATAACAATGTAGGAGAATTCATTCTACATTGGTCAGTAATCTTAACTTACATATAAAAAAAAACAAAAGTGATGTGAATCAACCGCCACTTTAAGGTACACATAAACACACACACATCAATGCATGATTTATGCTTTTTCTAGGAAGTCTGCTAAGACCATTGGAATGTCTGAACCTTTAGAGATTAAAATGGTCCTGAGCCTAAATGAAAACCACACACTCTGTGACATTCATGTTGAGAATTAGTAATCAGTATTCTCAATTTAAACTGAATATGAAGCAATCAAAATGTTTTTTTCACAAGTCTCAAGGAGTGCAGTTTATCACTGGACTGTTTTTGTTTATATGAAGCAAAGAAAACTGGAGGAACTGGTACAACTAATTATTTTTTTCTAACAAATGTATATATATTTTAATTCTTAAGTGGTGATAGGAATTTAGCGTGCAATTAAGTGTGCAATGTTGCCACTAACTTAAGTAATACAACATTTCTGACAACTCTACTAAAAGTTTTATTAGATGTTGGCATTCAGTCAGCATTAAGTATAGAATCTAAGTGGCATGATGTTTGGTACTCATCGGCGAAAATCTCTTACTGACTGGTGTGTGAAATTTAATACCCAAACGAAGTATGGTGGAACGTACAGTACTGTATCACAATTCAAGCACTCAATTCACTCTAAAGAATAGAATGAAACTATATTAGTTTCCATTTGGTAAATAATTTGGTTATACGAGAGGTCAATCATAATTCGAGTTGCATAATGATAAGAACTTTGAACGATGTGCTTGATAGTATGGAAATAAATGCGAGTGGAAACGTGAGCTTCTTCAACATTGCAGATATGTACCAATAAGTGAAGGTGAATACGAAACTTAGGTTAGTCACAGCTTCTTTACGATATATATATATATATATATATATATATATATATATATATATATATATATATATATTACATAACCATGTATATAAGGTAAAATATCTTCACTCAGATTGTGTTCTTGGTAGAAAATCATTTGTAATCAAGATGTCAGATACATGAAATGAGTGAATTTGCACATTTTGTATACTGATGTTAAACTGCTCACAGTTGTGTGCAGTTGATGAGAACCAACGAAATACAATGACGCTATTTTATCTTCCTCAGTGTGTTCGTTTTGCATTGTTCAAGTTTGTCAGAGAAAATAATTATATGAAGCTTCTGATTTTTTCTGTATACTTCAGTCGCATAAATTTGATCTCTAGTGGTATGGTGGGAGCTGGCTGCTAGCCAAAATTGGTAGATAGTAATTTACGTCAATATTTACATCCCCAATATCGGTAGTGAGAAAAATAAGAACAAAGACTGACTCAACAACCAATCACAACAGACGCTGCGAAGGCGGGTACAATTTGCAGATAAATAATCTGAACTTCAAGAAACGGCCACGAAGAGATGAAAGATTAATGTTCATTGAGAAACCACCAATCAGAAGACTGTGTTTGTTTGCTTATAATAATCTATAGTAATGTACATGAAAATCTATAAATATGTGTTGATTTCCTTAATAAACGATCTGTTTCCTGGCCCTTGTCTTCTGTTCTTACAGTGGTATTTTGCCTTATCCTGAATGTTGACTACACTCCACTGACCAAGTTAATAATGTTTACAACAAACTAAGAGACCGTCTCTCGTAATGCTCTTTAATATTATCGTTGCGTGGTTCAAAGATCATGTCTTTTAAATAGCTTTAATATTAACTGATAAAGTTTTCAACTTCAAGTGTTTTGTCGTAGGCTTTACAAGCTGAAATCTATGTTTAACAGGATAAAAGTCATAGTAACTTTTGAGTGAATGTCTTGGCCTCAATCTAGACTGCAAATTCGGTGCGATATTAATGACAGAATACGAAACGGAAACCGAGAAGTATTTTACGGCAGTCCACTTAGTCTGTCCACAATTGTGATGAATAAGCAAGTAACGAAAGAAATTATCAGTATTTTCCAAGACTGGTAGAATACTAAATTATTTGAGGGTATTGCATTATACAGTTTGCAGGTGAAATCTTATATGTATAAATGGTCAAGCAATATGGCAGATATATTCCATTTTTGGGTAAGGAAATTAGAACTTTCATTCAATTTATAGAAATAGTGTAAATACAGTGATTTCAAATCTTCAAATATTCCCATTTATAATATTAGAACAAGAAATATAAGCGAACATTATTGTTTTCAATTAGATCTTCAGGCTTTACTCCAATTTACATAGACTTATATATAAAGAATTTTAGCCAATGATGGTGATTTTGTGGATCAAATAAAATCTATACGAAGTTCTATTTTGGCTCATTTGATTGATAGCGGTCACCAAGTGGACAAAAATAGTGCCTTCAAAGTTATCTATTGCATTCCATCGAGTCTTTCGAACGGAATCAGAACCCGTCTTTTACACTTAGCCGAAGCTATGCGAATTCGAGAGAACAATCCTAGTCTTTGTATACAAAAGAAGTTTGTTCTACCTTTGTCTCTCTCTTGGCCTAGGTGAATTATATTGAAAACCCTTCCACCTTTTCTGATCTTCCATCTCTTTCGTACTTTTATGATATTTATTTAAACTCTGATTATCATTCCATTTCACCTTTTAAGATTTGACCTAATTTATTTATTTATTGAATTGTCTATATATATACTATCTTTGTTATTCTTATCGCCACCTGCATAAATCTTATTATCAATATTTTGTTATCACTATAATCATCGTTATTAATTACGTTCAAAACATTTACCACATTATTGTTATTACCATCATTTGATCCACAAAATCACCGTCATTGGTTAAAATTCTTTATATATAAGTCTATGTAAATTAGAGTAAAGCCTAAAGAAGATCTAATTGAAAACAATAATATTCACTTATACGTCTTGTTTGAAATACAGTGCATCATGAGACGAGTGCTATGTGTGGAGCTGTTTTCAAACAAGCAAACTAGTGACAACAGTAATTTGCAGAGTCTGTAGGCAACAGATTGATTTCGAAGTAGATTTGGTGACGAATTAATAGTCAATAAAGAATTTTTAAAAGCCCAGAATCACAGAGAAGCTGTTTTGTTCTAGTGTAAGACTAATGAGTTCTTGTATGACAAGTTAGAATGGAATCTAGAAAAAAAAACTACTTTATCGTTCAACCACTGGCTTTAAAAACAATATCTGCTTGGTTTCCAAGTGTCTTTTAGTTGATGTCAGCTATGTGAAATCATGTAGACAAGATATTTTCAAGTGTTGGTTTGCAGGGATTTGATTGATTCCAATTTTGATCACTAAATAACTTCATTGAGAGATCAATGGAAACCAGGAAGTACTAGACAGCTGTTTCGTCTTTGCTTGAGATTCCCCGGCAGTGCGCATCCATCTGTGGTAGAACCAAGGACCTTCAGGTTACAGGGCGGACCTATTTGCTATTCAGCCACTCAAACGGAATCAAATAAACCATCAATTCCAAGTCCTCCCATTTCGCTATATAGCGTGACTAGTGTTCACTAAAAACTCACTACAAGGTGAAGTTGCCTGAAGTCCGAGTGGAAAGCGGTAATTGGCTAGGTCTACCAAGTTGAGCTTGAAGATAGACACTCACCGATGACACTGGCTTGCAGTCACTGTGTTTCGTGAATTGGTAGAAGCTAGAACTCATGGGTCTCTGGGACCCTGATTCAGTGACTGGATCGTATACAAATTCACCTTCTAACTTGAAGGTTACGGGTTCAATCCCTGATGGGGTAATGGTTACGTGCTGTGAGGAGTCCCACATAAGGACGAAATAGCGGTTTGGTACTTTGTAGTTTTAAATGACTGTCTAACTGAAGTCGATTCGTGATCAGAATATTATTTTCATATTGTTTATAGATTACATGAAATATGCACATAATAACCCTGAGCAAATCAATGACTTATACACAAAAGTATTTTAGTGCGTCGGTGGCATATCGGTTAGGACGCTCGTCGACCATGCACATGGTCCGGGGTTCGATCCCCAGCCGGCGTACTCTTTTACCTCACTCAGCCAGAAGTAAAGCTGGTGAAGAGGAAAGGTTGGGGATGAAGCTAGCAACCCCATCCTGTAAAAATAAACACGACTACAGAAACTTCAGGCCTCTAGCTTGAAGCCCTATGTTCCACTGGGGAACGTGAAGGAAAAAAAGTATTTTAAACAAATACTAGAGAGTAATAAAATCCAAAACTGTGTTTGCATTTGACGTCAAGTCAAAATGAACTTTCATTATCGTTTATAACGGTTAACTACTTTTAGTGATTTAGTAGTATTAAGTTTAAGAAAAAACAAATTTTATATTTAGAAATACTTTTAGACAACTAGGTGCGCATCACTGTGATGTATTCTCATTGAAGTGCATCAGTGGTCACAGTCTTACTCTGTTTTTGTTTTCCTACGTTAAGGTTCTAGCATCTAAGATCTAATATTAGTATTTAGATAAAACTATTACGGGATAGATCTTTGAAAATAGACCGTTTTTACAAACCGACGTATGTCATATTTTATTTATAGTGAGTTAGATAACTTTGTACCATTTTCTACTCATCATGTTGATAAACGTGTAAAATAAACTTGAATTTATTAAGTTATTTTGGTGAATATTTAATCAACTTTTAGATGAGCATTTAAAACTTCGCAATACAGTTTTTCTAAATCTCATGCATACAAAAATAATGATTGTAAATGTGAAAAATGAAGACAGAACACAGATAAATCAAATCAGAAAGGTTTCTATGGTTACTTAGTATCTGCGCAGATCTAACAAAGACTGCATTTACCTCCTTACCTATCATATATATATATATATATATATATATATATATATATATATATATATATATATATATATATATATATATATATATATATATATATATATATATATATATATATATATATATGGGAGTACTGGACAGCTGTTTCGTCCTAGTTTGGAACTCTTCAGAAGTACGCACCCACAGCCAGGGTTCTAACCCAGGACCTTCTGGTTACGAGGCGGGCTGGTAGACCACTGGGACCCAATCCAATGACCCATTTATTCTAACTTCTGCCAATTCACGACATAGCGCTACCATTTCGCAATGTCTTCTTCGATGAGTTACTACCTCATCTTCAACCTGCTGTACCCTACTGGTCACGGCTTTCCACGAGAACCCCAGGTTAACTGCCTGAATATATTCAATTCATATACTTATAAAGTTGTAAGTAGTGAATATGCAGAAAAATGAATATTGACCAGTATTCCTTGATAATGTTCTTTGTTTAACTGCATTGTATATTCAGTCTAGACTTAGAGTTTTCAAATTAGGATTCAGTATGGTTATGTATATTCAGAAGTGTGCACTGTTGAAGAATTATAGAATCTTAACGGAATATTTCAGGCATTTTACATCGGTAATTGCATTTATGCTTAAAAGTAATTTGGTAACATACTTCTGGCTAGTAAATTTGTTCAGACATGTTTTTATTCTCTAAAAATCATCTTATCATCTTTGGTGTCATTGTGTTTCTAAATTTATTGAAATTTACAACAAATCAATAAACACATACGTACATTTTATTTTTGTTTTTGCTTTTTCGACTGAAGAGTTGTCAATAGCTAAGAAAATAGTTTTGTGAACAATGATTAACATAAATACATTTTAACAACATTCTTTGTTATGAAAATGTCTCTTTGATACCCTTATAAACTTATAGACGACACTTAAATATTTATGTTTTTGACGTTAATGAGGATCGTGCTAAACTTAATTAGCGTTTAATGTAAATCCAACTCATAGGGCCAATGATGATTCATTGATCATGACAATGAAAGTGATTCTTCTTAGAACTGCTTCAGTGTTAAACAATGTGGAGGCGTTGAGTTAATTGAAACAAATGAAGACTTTAACATATATATATATATATATATATATATATATATATATATATATATATATATATAATTAGTCATCATTACTGTATAGTTTATTCATAAAGTTAGTGAGCATGGATTCAGTTAACTAAATACTGTGACGCCTTTTATATGTGTTGGAGTCTTCATTTGTTTCAACTGACTCAGTGCCTCCATATTGTTTAACACTGAAGTAGTTCTAAAAAGAATCACTTTCAGCATGCATTTAGGCATGTCAAAATATTTCGCTTGAAGCCTACACAATGAAAATCACAAATAATTTTTTTTTATAATATCACAATAGGATGGTTGAATCACTATAAAAGCAGAAAGTAAAATTGCAACCTACAGTCTCATTCGCTGATATTTAATCATACAGATTTTAAGACTATGTTTATCAGAAATATTCAAATATAATTTAGGTGGACAGTGAAGCTTTAGGCCATAAATGTTGACTTTTTAGGAATGAGATGAATGTGAAATAATTCAGAAGAATGGAAAAGAAGCAATATTGTTAGCGTTTTCATAATTATTATCAGGATTAACTCCTTGAATTGTTCTTCACACCTATATAACTAATCATTTTTTGAGTAAATTGAGTTTATGTTACTTTAATTGTTGGATTTCATCACAAACAAACTTCATTTAGATAAGTCATTAGGAATCAGGGAGCACTGGAACTACGCGTCAGTGCGTGCTCACAGCGTTGCTCGAGACCTTCAAGTTACGCGATCACGCTCGTTGACCATTCATCCACTTGGGTTGGAATTTGGTGACCCGTGAATTCTAACTTTGCTACCTCGTGATATAGCCCTGCCCTTACCAGTATCTTTGATGTGGATGCACTTACCTTGACATGGTGCAGCCCACTGGTCACGACTTCTCACTACTTTAGTAGTATAGGCTGAAAACCATATGTTATAAAATTTTCTGAAGCATTAGCTCAATGATAAGGTGCTCATCCTATCATCTGAAGGACTTAAATCATGTCTATCCCTTACACAGTCAAAGATACGTGCTGCGGAAAATAGTTGTTAAGTTCTAGACTTTTAGTAGTTTTCTATTCGATTTCACTTAGTTAAATGCTTTCAGTTAACCTTGACGTCGAACTCCAGGTGACACGTATACAGTACACTTGGAGAACCGCTAAAATCACCTCCTTTTGTTATTTAAACATGTAAGTATTTTACAAGAATAAAAACCAAATCATGATTCCGAAATATTCGATGAAGCTTGTTGTGTTTATTAAAAATGTATGCTAATGACCAAACTTACTGTAAAAATACAAACAAGCTCATTGTATAAAGTTTTGTATAGTTTTTGCAAGATAATAAATATGGTATTTTATTTGAGAGACACTAAAATTGATATCTGCGTTGCCTGAAGTCTTTGATACAAATAGATGAAGAAGTCAACGATGTAATAACTTGGTTTATTAAAAATTTAGAGTTGGCTAATCGATATCAAAGGGTTATCTTACTTACACTGCTATATATTTATATGAAGATTTATCGTACAAAAGGCAATATGATTAAAGGCTTTTGTTACTTTACGATAAACTAAAGTTCAAATTTATGGAAACAAAGCTATGTACGTAGAAAAAATTATATAAAGCCATAATTTCACGATGGTAATCTAAGGTCACCATACCTATGAAGAATAATACGTTGTGTTCGCCACGGACTTCGAAATGATTTTTGGTAGCTGGAAGAAGCTTGACACAAAATTTATGAACCTGGGTTTCGTGTTTGTTGACACTTGTCAGAAGGAGGTGTCAACAATCTTGAAGAGACTAGTGTCTACTGGGAGGTGCGTACCCATATCATCCACTGCTGCTGTTACAGGTATTACCAGTGAGTTATTTGGAATCAAGATTTGCATCCTGTAGGATTGTAACGGATTCTTTGATCAGTCATTTGGGTTTAGCCAGTTAAGTATCTAATACTCGATGTCGGTGCTAACTGAATTCCGTCACTCCAGTTCAGGTTAGGATCTTAAAGAGAACGTGATTGCTGTCGAAGCTGCTGATATACCTTGCTGATGAGTACTAGTAGACATGAAACCCGGATCAACAAATGCCGGTCAATTTCTTCTAAGCCACAAACGTAAGCATTTGAGCTTCGTCCTAATTTATTTTGTTTTTATGAATGGATAAATGGAAGTCACAGTTGAATTATTTTCATTTGGAGTACCGGTTTTTCCAACAGATGGTTTGAACAGGTTAATAGATTAAGTTGTAAAAGTTAATTCAGTGAATACCTTTTAAGAAAAGCCAGTTCTTCACAAATAAAACTACCAAAAAGCTTAATTCAGGCTTATTACCTTAATATCTTTATTTATGAAGGCTGGATTAAGGCTGAATCTAATAAATTACTAACCAGTTTGTTAATTATTCCTCTGTAGCTCCATCTACGCAAGCCGTATTATGAGTTCCACTTCCTATAAATAATCAAGTTAGCTCACCTCCAACATATTAGTTGAGTAACAAAGCCATTGTAATTACAGGCAGATAGCAAAACGTCAGTGAAAGCAACATTGAACTTTTCATTGAAAAACGCAAGCTCCTAGTGATAATTACTAACTAGTCACTTAACCTTACGTCTCTATGATGTAAACATATGCAGATAGGTTTTTGTAGTGTATTTCACCATCTGTATATTGAGTAACACTCGTAATATACCGATTGTGATGATGAACATTTCACTTAGTGTATAGTATTATATTGAGAAAACTTTATAAATTAAGGGGAATATTATTCTTTTAATAGAACTTACAGCGCTTAAGTGTTCTTCCAGCTTAGCTTTAGAACTTCGAGTTTCACTTATTCGTTTCTTTAAGGCACGATTTGTTGCTTCAATTTGACGCTTTATATCAGCAGCGACCTGTTGTATTACTCCATCGATGATAGAGCGTAGTTCATGAGAATTTTGTAACTGTTTATCCCGGCTTCAATTGATGCAGTTGAAAAATTCTGCCATTCTTCTTGTGTAAATGATCTGTTATGGAATACATACATACAAACAAGGTGAAAGAAAGGAATAACCATCCATACTTAATTATTTTTTTTATAATAAATAAACGCGCATAGCATGGAATAGGATGTCAAAGGCAGCATACAGAACAAGATTCGGATTGTCAGTGCTAATGTCAAGTCGGTCAGTGCTTCTTTAAAGTTGAAAAACTTGGCATTTCATGAAAAATATTTTCATCCACCTGTTGCAGACTCTTATCACCAGTTGCTTTCGCTCCCTCCAGAGTGAAGATCAGACCGGCTAGGAAGGATAGGTAACAATGAACTCTGGTAACAGATAAATCAAGTACCTATTCCCCAGCAAATATGCAGTAGGAAAAGGAGATGTATTGGATATATTCTGAAGTGATTCTTGAGTGACATTGCGCTCCAGGCCATCGTTCGAGTGGAACTCGAATGGGAAACGATGAGCTAGGCGTGTGTCCAAAGGTGACATAAAGGAAATAGTGTGAGGAGGCAATGAAGGCCTACTGAGGGAACAGTGGAACTAGCACAAATGGGCTACAGTGAAAAGTATAAAACGTAGGTATTCTGTTGAAGTTGTATTTTCCGTGCAGAACCCAACGGAATAATAATATTATTTAGTCTAGATTACACCAAATGAGAGTTCACATTTTCATCAAGAAAGTTTCCATGAGTTTGGATAGTTTTGTGTCCAATTTTATTAACAAGCAATAGACACAAAACAGTTACTTCTTTTGAGTTTGGAACTATTCGGCACTGAATAGTTGGGGTGGGGGTCCTGTGACATGTTGCATCAAAAATCATTAGCTTATAAATTGAGTCAGCCATTGAATCTCATTTCATCGATCAAGTATGTCACTGATGAACCATGTTTAACAGTCTAATAATAGAATAACAGGGGTTTAGCGTCCAATGATTTTGATTTATAAAGGAATTTACCTCGAAATTCGCATTTTAAGTAAATAGTTTACAATTTTTCCAGTTTTAAATAAAAGAAATCGAAAGTGATATGCTGATTATTATAACTGACAGAGAAGTAACCTTGGCAAATTTCCTTTTTTCATTGACTTTTTTTTCATTCCTTCATGTTCCCAGTGGAACATGGGGTTTCAAGCTAGAGGCTTGAAGTTTCTGTAGCAGTGGTGTTTACTTTTACGTGATGAGGTTGCTAGCCTCATGCCCAACCTTCCCTCTTTATCAGTCTTATTACTGGCTTAGCGAGGTGAAGGAGTGCGTTGGCGGCCGGGAATCGAACCCTGAACCGCATTCGTGGTTGGTGGGCATCATACCGCTGTGCCACCGACGCTTTTCATTTCATTGACTTAATGAACTAAAAATGTAGGATATTACTAGAATAAGACGACGAAGTAAATATATAACTTGACTTTTCAACATTGCATCCACCTACTTCACCTAGATAGACTCTTAGATTTGAGGAACACATCATTTTTGAAGGTACTTAATTACATAACTTACTTGGCATCCATTTTCGGCAAGCGATCAAATCCAGGTAATGATTCATCAGTCGGCTTCAAACTTAACGCGTATTCATCAATACGTTGTGCTTCAAGCTTGTCAGAAGAATCTCTCTTCAGATTGTAAATCGCCTTACGATTTAATCTGCAAAGTAAGATTATGAGGAAACATTGATGACATTCTTATACTTTAAGAGTCATTTCGACAGTGATAATAGCGATTTGAAAAGCTTGGGAAAAGAAATTACTGTGGGATACCATTATAGGTAAAATTTATTTTGATAAAGTCTAACAGTGTTATACAGTAATATTTACTGGATGACGTTTCGAGCACAATTTATTGCTCTTAATCACCTTGATATGATTATGAGCAATAAATTGTGCTCGAAACGTCATCAGTAAACATTACTGTATAACACTGTGGGACTTTATCAAAACAAAAATTTACCCATAATGGAATTATACTCTACCGCAGTGCACAAGTTTTCTTCTTATATCAAATTACTGTGTGATGTATAGATGCAATTAACAGAAGTGTGTGTATGGAGCTGAGGGTTACTGTGGCATATATGGATATACAGATAATTTCCGGGAATAAGAATCATTGCTGAGAAAAACCTAGTTCAGGAGGGCATTGCCTTTATGAACTATTAATATTATTTTGTTGTTAGTTGCTCCTGGTTGCATAACATCTGTGTAATTGAACCATTGTGTATACTACTTCCTGTGAACAATACCTGTAAGTCGCTAAGCTTATTATAATTCCACTATAATTGATTCAGAAAACCACCATCTTTGAAAAACTTAAATATTTCGTGAATTCTGGCTTCAAATTCCAGAGGCTAACGCAATCTTCCTTTCAGGCTGTAACTGGATTTTTAGTACCTCAAATTAATTTTGGATACATAGCGTAGGTTTGAGCTTTTGGATGGCTAGTGCCTCAGCTATGCTCAGATATCTTAATTTGATCGAATCTTGTATGTTATTTTGAAGGATTTTTCGAATGGCGCTGAATGTCATCCAATGCAACAGTATAGATGTCGGCATAGCGATGCATTATTTAAAGGAGCTGTTACTACGTTGTACCTTCAACTTCTGCTTCAGATTCGACGATGAAATATACAGACAAACAGATGGCGTAGCAATAGGCTGTCCACTGGTACCCCTCTTGGCCGACTCTTTTATGGCCAGCCTTGAAAACAACTTGTCATCGACTATCACTGATCCCCACCTTTACAAGAGATACATTGATGATACTTTCATCATTTTTGATGAGAGCGTGGACCTTGAAAACTTACTTCAGACATTCAACAATGCCCACCCAAACATCGACTTTACACTTGAGACTGAATCCGATAGAATGTTCCACTTCCTCGACGTTCATTTGACAAGAAACACCAACAACTCTCTGAAAAGGTTCATTTACAAAAAGACCACATGGACTGGAAGATTCATCAACTTTCGAAGCTCAGTGCCCCTAAGCAGAACGAGGAACCTTATATACACCCTTTCCTTGAGGATTCGGAAGATATGCTGCGAAGAATTCATTGACGAAGAACTGCGTAATCTTGGAGGAACCCTGATGGAAAACGGTTTTCCACCTTGATTCATAGACAAGGATCTCAAATCAAAGAAGACTTCCAAACAAGTCCAATCTGTCCCGAAGAAGATACTTCTGCTTAATCTAGAATTCAGAGGTGACATTGAAGAAGAAATCATTCGGAAACGCCTCTGCAAATCTCTGAAGAAAATATGCCTCACCACAAGTCTATGGCTGACGTTTAACTGCAAGAAACTGTTCAGCCAGAACGCGAAATACAAGCTGTCGCATTGGTCCACTTCAAAGTGCACATACCAGTTTACTTGCTCGTGCGGAGCTGAGTACATCGGCCGTACCATGCGCCAACTTGAAAAACCTACTCGTGAACATTAATTATCCAGCCTAGGTAGTAAAAGGAAAGCGAAAACGTGTATATAGTTCAGCAACAGAAAATCTGGTCAATTCAGGACATTCAGTGCCATTCGAAAAATCCTTCAAAATAATATACAAGATATGATCAAACCTGTCAGAGGGAGTAAAATTAAGGTATCCCAAATCATGAAAACATTTTTCTGTATGATAAGTAAAGACTACTCCAGTCTATAGTTTAAAACTGATATCATGATTCATTTTCCTTTGAAAATACAAGCTTACCTATTTTATGCGTGTTCCTTAAAATTATATTTAGTGTATATGTATTTATCGATTTTCGATAAAACGGATTAATGATTAATCCTCGATATGATTCCATATGATTCAATACTTACTTACTAATAGTACAAATCGAAGAAAGCGAAGAGAAAACCTTTCTTTACTTTAGAGTACAGAATACTTAAAGTAGCTTAGAAAAAGTGTGTATAAATTAAAACTTTGGAAAAAAACTTTGAATGAATGAATGTTCATTATTACTTGAAAGTTTAAGTCACCTGATATTAAAAAGAACAATACAATATGCAACCAGTATACGATCAATTACACCATTTGGTTATCAAACTATTATGTTTGGTAAAGTGTATAAATAACTACAAATCCAAGAGAACAACTATGTAAAGAGAAGTGCACAGAAGAATAACAGTTGAGGCGAGATTGTATATATTTATTAAAACCTGATAGCAGTTGTCTTTATCATATTTCAGTTAGACCTTTGATTACATCGTTCAGGCTTGACCATATACTTCAGAATATCTAAACGTGTGACCACCTTCAAAATACTTGAATACTGTTCGGTCGATTATTTACCGATAGAACTAGTTAACATGTGATGATTTTGTAATTTTATAAAAACTTTATACTCATGGTTTGCATACTTAAAAGTTATGAGTCTGACACAATATGAATTCAAAAGTTTGGTGGTGATGATTTGTGTCTTACCCTTTCTACATTTTTATGATGGCATTGTTTCAGCCAAATTTTTAACATGAAATCTATTGAAACAAATCAACTTCAAGGCTGAGTTAGGCACGAAACACTTGGAAAGTGTGACTGGCCAGTAGAAATTTACCAAGATCTATCTATTGCTTCAACTGTACACCAGTAGTTCAGGGGTAAAAGACTGGACAGCCAAACAAGTGGCCTAGGTTTCGATCGCGAGCCGACGTACTCCTTTATCTCACTAATCCGTTAGTAAATCCAGGAAACAGGGACGGTTGGGTGTGAGTCTAGCAACCAAATCCTGTAAAAAGACGCCACTGCTAGTGAAACTTCAAAACTCTAGCTTGAAATCTTATGTTCATCGGGAATGTGAAGGAATAAAAAAGACCACTTCACTTAAACCGTACATATAGGCACAAATAAAAGTTAATTATGAAAAGTAGTTTATCTGCAGCAAAATGCGATCGTATACAAACTTAGGGGGGGGGAGTCAAACTAATTCATTAAACATAAAAAAATAATCTTTGAGTAACAATCTAGGAAATAAACACCAGGAACTTCCACCAAGTTGGTATGTTCATAAAGTGAAATTAATAAATTGGAATGTAGATGGTATTATGTTATGCTACCCGCAACTATTGGAACTCAACATCCTTACTGTTGAGTATCATGACTTTTTTCTTTGAGTGTGAACAGATATGGGTTTCATGAAGTTCCGGAAATATCTTTAGTAAGGCTATTTAGCAATTTGCAAAGCACTCTGCAATTTACACAGTTTAAGGTGACATTTGCACATCATTTCGCAAATTACGAATCTGTTTTATGGAATTATCGGTCCGCCTAAATAACTAGCCAGAAACTGGATGTCCTGAACTTACTCAGCTTTGTGACCTGCTTTATTCTGGATGCATCTCTAATAAGCCCAGCACAAAGTGAGCAAAATGGCCATTTGGTGTTCAGGTCACTATGGTCTGGGTAACAAGCACTACTGGTTGATATGAGTGGCATAAAATTACTCACCTCAGTCTATCGGTGGTATATAGTCTTACTTAATGTCTTTGCTAAATCTGCCGTATGTAATATTCCTTTTTATCAGGAATCATATATATATATATATATTAATTACTTGCTCTTAGTGACATAACTCGTTGCTCGGCTACGAAGATGCTTACCACGTCTCTTTTTCAGACTACATCATCTGTGAAGTGGAAAGATTCCGCAGCTTGCCAGAAAGAAATGAACAGTGCTTAGAGATGGCAAACATGCTATCTATGCGGTATCAATTGTTTTCCTTACTGAAAAGACAAGGTCTCATCCATTAACACCATGGCTTATAAAGTTATTTTGTATATATTAAATGCTCTCAGATTAATTATCAAGTGTTGGTTTGTAAGGATTTTTTTGGTAACTGGTTTGATCACGATTTGATATCGGACTAGGCCCCAAACAATGAAAAATATTAAGTTATAGAGTGATTATGTGTCAAGTGGGAATGGGTCAAAGATTAGTGAACGACGCAATAAGATTATCACCTTTAGTAATTATTGATAGTGGTTTACCCTTCAAAGAATTCTCAAAATTTAGATAACTGAAGCATCTACATATAAACAGGATTCTTATGCACTCTAGGACGTAACCTCTTTAAACAAAGGTGACATGGTAAGAAACAGTTTGTTGAAAGCTCCTATATAAACATGTACAGACAGCAGTGGATTACATAGTAAACGTTTTGATCAGTGACCCTAGCAGCTCAGTAGTTAATCGTTTCTAGCAAGACATTTCTTGAAACTTGATTCAAGAGACTATTTCGAGGTCAAAAAGCGTACAAATCTAAATGAAGAAAGTCCATACTGAAGCAAACACAATTGAAAGATTATCATAGTGATGTGAATGACACCGTAAAAAAATAGTTTTCTGTATGTCAAACTTAACATACAAAGGTTTTAGTTTTAGCATAGTCAGTCAAATCCCTACAAACCAACACTTGAGTTCCATATTAGTTTGTTTATTAGATGTATCACACTGTGAAACAGAGTTACTTCTTGGATGACGTTTCGAATAAAATTTATTGTTCATAATCATATCACTTATGATTATTAGTACTGTTATTATCATAATCAATATGATTATGAACAATAAATTTTGTTCGAAATGTTTTCCAGTAAGTAATACTGTTTCACTGTGTCATACATCTAATAAACAAACTAATACGGAATTACTTACTATCAAAGTGCCCAAGTTTTACACATATATTAGCATAGTCAGATTACAGATTGATTACTTCATTTAGATTTTACTGCCAGTTTTCGTTAAATTTCAAAATAATCAAGCGTTTTGATATATTCAAAAGCCTTCAGAAAAGGTGAATTTATCTTGATTTCAGCTAGTATAGTTTAATCCATTTTCTGCTTTAAGGAGGAATATGACCTTGGTACTTCCCCTGGAAATCTATCGTATAAGCCATCTTGGATCACTAGTGAAATCAGGAGGCTATTAAGACAGAGGAAGAACTTATGGGACCAATTTATTATGGCAGGAAGGGAAAATTTCCAGAAGGACCACCAGAAAATTCGGAGTGTCTGTAAGCTTGTGGCTGACAAGAGTCGTATAGAGTATGAGAGACGACTAATACTGGACTGTCTTCATTACCCAAAAAGGCTTTACTAGTATATTAAAAATAGGACTAAAACTAACAGTGGTATACTGTCACTCATAAGCATTAGTGGAGAAGCGGCTGAGTTAGACGAGACAAATACTTCTGTGACGTCTTCTCGTATGATCGTACCACCTAGGGATATAGCGAGGTCACTGCCATCGTCACTCAGATGCCCTCAATTGTGGAAGAGCACACAAAGGTTATCAAACTACTATCTAAATTGAAGCCAGGCAAATCACCTGAACCCAATGGACTTCAGCCTAAACTGTTAATTTCCTTGATGGATATAATACACATTCCACTTACGGAGATTTTTCAAATGTCTCCGATCCAGGCTAGGCTACCAGGGACTGGAAGGATGCAATTATAAGCCCTATCTTCAGAGAAGGGAACAGGCAATTGGTATCTAGCTACCGGCCGGTAAGTCTGACATGCATTATAGCAAAGGTACTGGACACCATTATAAGGGATCAGCTATTAGCTCATGTTGAAAAACATGGCTTCTGGCGGTGGAACAGCAGGACAGTCCTGCTGACAAACCTACTATTGGCTAGGGAAAACTGGGTTAAGGCCATAGATAAAAACCTGTTGGATGTGGTTTTTATCGATCTTAGGAAGGCACTCGATAAAGTATCCCACTCAGATCTCCTTAGTAAACTTGAAGGTTTCAGACCATCCAATGCCTGTGCGAGTGGTTTAGAGATTACCTAATGGATAAAAGCCAGAAGGTTAGAGTTGACGGTGTACTGTCAGGATAGGAAGCAGTATCCAGTAGAGTGCCTCAGGGAACTGTATTGGGCCCCTTGCTATTCCCATTATACGTTAATGAACTGCCGGGGATTCTTACTTCATCTTTATTATTAAATGCGGAAGACATTAAGATCTGGGAAACTGTAAATAATAACGATGATAAGTCTGCCCTACAAACTGATCTAGATAAACTAGTTGAGTGGTCAAAACTGTGGAGATTGGAAATTAATCCTAGGAAAAGCGCGGTAATGCACTTAGGTAGGAAGTCTTATACTTCGTACTCCCCATGGGACACAGAACTACCTGATGTTAACGATCAGAAGGACCTAGGAATCATTGTCAGCAATGATTTGAAAACAACTGCGAATTGCAATGCAGCCGCAGCTAAGGCTTTTCGAATGCTATGGGCACTCCGAAGAGCTTTCAAACAATTAGATGAGTCAAAGTCCAAAGTAATCTATGCAACATATGTCAGGCCTCATTTAGAATACGGCATATAAGCGGCTAGTCCTTGATTTAAGAAGGAGGCACATATCTTAGAAAGAGTATAAAAGTTAGGAACCAAATTAGTTAGTGGTATCTCACACCTTCCTTATGACATGAGGATGGTGCATCTAAATCTCTTCCCGTTATCACACCGAAGGAAGAGAGGCGACTTAATTTTAGCATACCGTATACCCAAGGGTGATTTAGGAACTGACCTTTTTAACCTTTTCTCCCCTGCAAGGATACATTTACGGGGTCACCGTAAAAAGGTGCTCAAACTGAGAACGATTAAAATAGGTGCAAAATTTCGATTCTCTCACAGAGTGGTCAACGACTGAAACTCCTTACCTGACTGAGTAGTATCAGCTCCATCGGTGAGCGCCTTCAAAGGGAAGTTAGATCTCTGCAGAGATATATTTTGCAGGGATTAACACAGGCCTCAAGAGCCTACTATCATTATCATCTAAATCTGAATCTGAACACGTTTGTCAGAAACAAACCTCAGACTGACTGTTTTCTCTGTAGCAGTAACTTCAGTTTATGAATTAATTTCCCCCTTGGTTCAATGTTAATTTATCATTTAAATTTATCTTAATAATGAGGTGCAAATTAAGATTAGCTTCAAAACAAATATATTAACTAAGGAAAAGAAAGCTATTGGTACCTTAGAAGCAACACTGACAAAATACATCCTAGACTCTACCAAAAATGTACATTGACTTGAGAAAGGTAATAGTAATACACATAATACTTATTTTATATGTGTAAAATGATAGAATAAATCATTATCACGAATATTATTGTTACTAGTCACGAACCTGAGTTGTTCCTTTGCTTGTTCGATAGCCTTCTGCAGAACTCCTTGTGCACCTTTAAAAACCTCCACCTCTTTAATAAGTTCTTTCTGTGCGTCATCATGAACGAGATCGATTCCTGTTCTTTTCTCACTGCCATTAAGGGTAAATAAACAAATCCATTTAAGAGGATAAAACAAACCGACTAAGCAAACATTGTTGTGCAATATGAAGAGGCTCTTCCGTGGCTTCAAGAGTTTTTTTCAGTCTTATGAAATATTCATCCAATACATCAGTTTCTTCCGTCACATCCTGCAGCTTTTTATTAACTTCCGACTTCCAGTATTGTATATCCTTAATTCTTTGGTCTGCAACGGTAAATTGAAAGAAAACTTGGCCTACCAAATTTTTTTTCGACGTCTTTAAGTGTTCTCTCAGTGCGTTTAGCAGTTTCTTCAATGAATCTGTCGCACTCGTTTTGTAACCCTTGAGAAATTTCTCGCTCTTTCTCTGCACTTCTATACTTTAGATTATTGCTATATGTCCACTCTTCGTGAGTGAATCTTTGAGGGGGCCTGACTAGACCAGCCATCAGTAAGAGAACAAAGGTAACAGTGAAAGTTTCAAAAGTTTGCGCTGCGGGTTGTCATAACAACAATAGAAGATCTTCAACCAACTTCAAAAACTGGTTTTTAATTGAATGTTTTTTAAATTTCATGAAGTAACAATATCATGTTACCTTATATTTCACATAAATAATATCCCTCAGGTCATAGCGCCAGTTCAAAATTTCCCCGTAACATGAGTGTTGAAGACAATCTGAACGTCCTTGTCATTCAGACTTATGACAAATATTGCACCCAAATTCTTGACAAATCATCGAGTGCACATGTTTATTCATTTCAAAGCGATAAAAATACCTGGGTTAGTTGGCCATAGTTATTTTATTGCTAATCTAGTTTTTTTCGTGATAAACACTTCTGTAAATACCGCAGTGTTGTAATACTGGTATAGGAATAATTGTATGATTTCAAAATATGCTAATCTTGGATATTTCATTCGTTCCTTTCTGGTTTTAAGACCTTGTGAGGTTTTTGGTGCGCGCTCACGTGAGCATTTCTTGGACTGAAACCCAACCAGCTAGTATTTTTTTGGGAGCACTGCAGAACGTGGGACAACGCCTTGAAGACTGCCTTTAGCGTTCTGCAATGCGCTCAAAGTCAACGCTAACATGCATATACTTTGCGGGAGATGGGTTACTGCCAAATCTGGCACTGCCTGTCTCACTATATTCAGGAATATGCTAATTACTCCTTCTTTGGTCAGCAGATTTTACTTCCCGATACTAACTGGGTGGTTATACCCGTCGAGTGGTGTTTCTTCCATCACTCCATCACATGTGATGGATGACGGATACTTATGGGCTTAAAAAGCCTCTGTTTTGCACTAAGCGCATTAACTTTGATCAGTCGGGAATTATCTGTCATCGGTGTCGTATCCCTTACATGTATAGTAAATTGAATGCTTTCGTATAAGTGGCATAACTCATAACTTAGATGCTTACCCTTACATTATCGCTGTATATGTATTGGTTAGTTGGTATACATTGTTCAGCATAAATTAAGCACGTGTAATAAGTACTTATGAGTTCGGCTGCGGTTTTTTGGACTGTACTTAGAAGTTTCATAATTTGGTTATTATAGTTCTGAGCCTGCTCCGCACAAAATATATGAGTAGTGTGACTGATTTTATGGTAGCCCAAGGACCGCTTAGTAAGATGCATTACATCATACTTTTACTCTAGGCATAAACATTCAGTATTAGACTTAGTCGTCGAGTGGCTGAATGATCTCTGATAGCGTCAACCGTCAAGGGATGGTGACTGTTTATTGTGATTGGTCTTCTGCTTTTACTATCAATCTCTTCCAGCATGATACTTTACGCATTATCGGTAATTATGAACACAACTACCTTAGTATGATTACGGATGTCGATCAGATGGTTAAGATTAGAAATTCCGAAGCGTTTGTGTTATGTTATCTTTCACACTTTGGTCTGCTATAGACTCGGACCTATCCTGTGGGACCTCGGAAAGACATAAAAACCATAATATAAATAAAGGCACACTAATAAGGAACAAAGCAGAAGCTTTACATTTAAGTCAAAGTACTCCAATTTCGAAACTTTTGAAATACTAACAAATGTATGAAGTGTGAAATTACTCCGGAAATTGTTCTTACTTTGTTAGTGAAATACATATTCTGTAAACCTGTGCCTACAACATAGACCGAGAGGATTAGGTCTAATTGATGATCTAACTTTTATAAAAGTTTTGGAAACTAGTCGGCGTAATTAATGTTTGCAATAGTGGCTGTGGAGCTATGGCTGGTTGGTCTACATGCTAGACTTACCACCCCTTGGTAATGGGTTCGAAATCTGATCCACCTACTGAAGTTTAAATTGTCAGGTGTGTGGCTCATTAGTTTTAATCTTCAGAAAGTTTGTATCATTTCATATTGTCACTGCCAATGTTAGCACGCTGTTGCAAAGAAGTATGGAACTAATTTTTTTGATGACTCATTTTCGAGCTCTCGTTTCGATAAAGGAAACTAACTTTTTTGAACTTCAGAGATACATGGAGGGGATAACAAGATTGTCAGATAACTGATTGTTGAAGTAACAGAAGTTGACACGAGAGTGCATGCATCAATAAGCTTCATAGTCATATATTCACCATATTCTACTAAAGTGTTACCGAAGTGTTTAGTGGATTTAGTCCCATCTGAAAAACTTGGGCGGTTCATCTACTCATCTTGCGATACACATTACCTGAAAATGTAAGATGTGCATAATCAAGGATTAATATTAAATGCCGGGGGAATATCAAAGGTTCCAATGCCACAACCACTGTTTGTTCGTCGATAAAGTAGTTACAGGAGTGTTATGTTATTATTTAAACCAGATATTGGTAGTTCATCAAATTGTTGCTGATTCGGGATGTGCCTCAACATAATCTGAAAACCGTGTTTCATCTTATGGCACCCTCAAAGACTGTCTCAAGTTTATCGGAAAATGGTGTTTCCATTAGATCCAAACCATTGTGTAGTGATACTGATAATCAAACATTTAAGGCCATCGGACGTCCTTATATTAAGTGAGGTTTTATCCACCCTACTGTGAACCCCACATTTAGTGGTCAGATCACCGGAGGTCACACAAATCAATGCGTATTACTCTGTCGTTTGATGAACAACTATGAATCTCGTTTGTCATTAAATGCCAACATTCGATTGTGCTTAAAATATTTTGTAACATTTGAAATTCTCTTTTTCGATTTCAGGCTAAAACCAAAACGGGTGGAGTATTTTTCTTATATAAACGGTAAGTGTCTAGACACTGTCAATGCATCTCTCTTAGGTCTAAAGTTCCGTTTTTTGCTTTCATGATTCTCAATCGTAAAAGTCCGACGGCGAACCAAATGGAGTTGGTGACTTCAAGTTTACAGCTTCAGCTACACACTCCATTCCTTTTGTACAAAACAGTAACAGGTAAGGAGAAATTGTAATTGTAAACCTCACAATACTATAGGCAAAATCTATTCAATCTGGTTTTACTCTGCTAAGGACTGTGAGCGCATCGCGGAGAAATTAGGCAAGTAAGTACTTGCTTGGTGACTATTTTCAAGACACCCACCTTGTATGCCAATCATATTCTGTCGAACAGAACATTAAAGTTTAACGTAGACTAGATGTTTTGCATTATTCAAAGTTCTAATCACTCTATGGCAACTCGAGATGGTTCCTTCAAACTAGTGTAGATTATTGACTTCCCTAGTTTATGAGAAGGAACAAACCCACATGTGATAACAGCAGATATATCAAACTATTCACTAAATCATCTAAGACTCTAGGGTTCATATTCTTAAGCATATTGAGTAAAGTAAGGGAAAAACAGAATGCTGTGTTGATTAAATCTTGACCATTTTCATAAGTTCAATGCCGCAAACATACTTTAGTCTGAAACTGACAATTTTTTGTTACCTGAAGACGTCTTTCAACTCTCGATTTTGTGATGCCGTGAGGGTGTTTGACTGTAATGGAATGCCAAATGAGTATAATGTGTGTGTTAATGAACGGAGAGTTGTCATCCCAGTTGATGGCAGCCAGCTGTGTCTATCGAAGATATCCCAAGTCACTTTGCAGAGTTGCTTGTTCACTTTATCGCGGCACGGGTACAAAAGGCACATGTGGCATTTGCCAACTAGTGTCATCTTTGGTATCCAGTAATCATCAACGGTTATGTGCACTGTGCAACACTTCTCCCCTTACCAGTTTGACTGTCTGTCTGTTTTCGACATAGAACTTTGCACATATGTGCGGCAGTTCAAGTCACCACACTCCATGTAGCACACAAAGTAAGAGAAGAAAGTACAAGAAATGAATATTAGAGACAGTAAACAGAGGTGTGAGACAAAGGAATAGTAGTAACGAAGAACAAAACAGTTTCATTGGAAATCATAAGTCACAGGGAGTGGATGCATCTGTACCACTGAGAACGATTTTGAGCCATGTCACCAATTGTTCCTAACCATTTATTTTTACCGTCCCGAGGACCCCAACCAGCCAGTCAGGAAGTCTACACCTTCCTACGTGGCTTAGACTGGCTCTTGTAGATTTCATTGACTGGTGAATCCATGTTTTGGTTTGACCGCCGCTGGCTCTTTTCCAGCCTGACCCTATATCAGCTAACATTGCCGGTCGAGGAAGGCAATGACTAGGCATACGTAACACATGTCCTAACCATCTCAGTCTTTGTAACTTCACAATTTCGTCGATTGATTTCCCCTGTTTACCTAGAACTCGACGCCTAACCTCAATATTCCTCACCTTATTATGCCACTTCACACGGTAGATAGAACGCAAGCACCTATGATCAAAGGCAGCTAATCTTTTCATGTCTTCCACTCTCAGTGACCAGGTCTCGCTCACAGCTGGCCATAAAGGAGGAAGAAGCGGACTGATGTGCAGTACACCCGGTCGATAGTCGAATATCTCGTTTGACTCTGTAAGACATCGCTGTTAAAGGTGGAACGTGTGAGATTAGTGGTTCCTTGACTATAGGTACTAGTGTCCACTATCGTGTTTAATAGAGTAAGGAAGCGAAGCCTGATCGTTAATTCGACTGAGGTGGCTAAGACAAGTCGTTTGCTTGCAGAGCCACTCATTTCCTCTACAAGAAATGTTAACTGATGTTTGATGGATGGAAAATGGTCAAAGTGGTTAGGCCAAAACAAAATGATGATCCATGGGGTCTTTAACTGATGGGGTGAACTACGAAACTAGGTGTGAAGTGCCTAGTCGGGGGGGGGGGGGGGTTCCGGATGCAAAGGATCTCAGTGGTTGAGAACTATCGGCCACGTGATTCAAAATAGTGGTGCGAATGTATCCAGTAATTCTGATCGTTCAGATTCTGAGGACTTTCATTGTTATTCATGTATTTATTCTTTCTCCCGCACATTTCTGTCTTTTAATTTCACTGAGTTCTTTTCCTCTCTCCTTGTATGCTTTTTCGAAGTTTGGCGACTTGCGTTGCACTTCTGTTCCAAGTTATGCATTGATTAGCCGGTCAGTCAGTAAATCATCACTGTCACCTCTGAACAATTCCGTAGTGAAAACATGAGGTCCTGTTCCTTTGCTTTTCCAACCTGTGCTAGTTGGTGTTAATGGGAGATCTCTACAACCATGTCTGTTAGACAGTCGTTGTGAAGATTTAGTCAGCATGAAGTTTTTATTGTCTTGTTTAGAGCCGATGGGCGACAGTCTCACTGCATTGATCTATCTTAGTTAAGCTGCAGAAATATATTGACTTTTAATAATTACTGACTGCAGGTAATCAATTATCTTCTGGATGTAACCTCCGGACGCGTATCGTTGGGATTCTCAGGGAAGTGTTGACTCTTGCCTAAACACACAGGTGACATTCTCACTGAAATACTGAACACATGTAAGGCTTCATCGCCGTTCACAATCGGTCATAGGTGTTCATGTCGATGGACTTATGCATATTTAGATTCCATGCAGGTGTTTCAAGACAATTGTTAGCTGAAATAGTTGTATACATTCGCATCGTTTGTGTATAAATAGATCACTGTAAGATTTTTTATTTCAAAACGGTATGAAAATGATATAGTTTTCATAGGGCGATAAACCTTCGTGATAACCGATTTGTGTACACTGCAAACAACGTATTCCTATATGCTTTCATATCTTTCTGTCGCTACCTAATATATATATGCTAGCACTCCATTTTTTCACTGTCACATTTGTCTGAAACTAATGATTATATTTTACTTCTTAGACTTGTTTTTGATGCTGGTGGTTTGGGATTAAGAGTAGCACAACCTGATCGATCCAAAAGTAAAACACAATCAAATTCTTCCAATCCTGTTGCAGATTCTGTGGTTAATACTCGAGAATCTCCTGAAACAGTCACAAAAGGATTAAATCAGTTAATGGATTTTGTTCGTGCATCAAATGAAAGTAACAAGACAAACCCATTACAACCATCAAAACTTCACGATAATAACAATTCAAATGTTCATAATCATTCAGAAGGACCGAGTATATTTGATATGTTGCACAAAGCTGAAGCTGACTTCAATTCAGGGGCTAGTGTAAGTTTTTTGCGTAGTTAATTGAAACTGTGTTATTATTTCGTTGATGATTTGTTTAATTGATTAGTACTTAGCTGGAACAGATTTCTCATATATCACGTTATTTATTTATTTTTCCTTCACGTTCCCCAGTGGAACATAGGGCTTCAAGTTAGTAGCTTGAAGTTTCTGTAGCAGTGTTTATTTTACAGGATGGGGTTGCTAGCCTCATGCCCAACCTTTCCTCTTTACCAGCATTGTTTCTGGCTTAGGCAGGTAAATAAGTGCGTTGGCGGCTGGGGATCGAACCCCGGACCATGTACATGGTTGGCGACCGTCCTAACCGCTATGCCACTGAACTACATCACGCTATGAACCACACATTTTGTAAGGGTTGATAATGCTACTTATTTGTTGAAGATGAAATAAACGAAGTGGGATTCAAACCCTAGACAAGTAGGTTGAAAGTTAAATGCTTAAACCAATAAGCCACATCTTAAGTCAACATTGTTAGTCATAATTCGTTTAAATCATATGTTTAGGCAGAATTCGCAGTCTAGTGACAATAAACCGTCAGCTAAGAGGTATTCAGGCATTGATAGTTCAGAAAGGTGGAACACTTCTGAGTTAAAGTCTTTGAAGTTAGAGTAGATTGTACGCTAAGCGTCCCTATTGTTTTAAAATTAAGGTTTTTCAACGTCTCCGTGGGCGGGGGAGGATTTTATACATCCACCAGTTAAGTTCATTGTGTAAGCACAGTTGATAAGAGACCATATAAGAGTACTACAAGGAAAAGACCATGTCTGAATAACAAATCCTTTTGAGGAACAACAAATGACGCTGTGCTTACTATCCCTTTGATTTACTAATATCGTTTTAGGATTCCATCATGAGCTGACATTAGTTAGAGAACCATTGGAAAACCTGGTTCTCTAACTAATGTCAGCTCATGATGAAATCCTGAAACCAATCAAATCCCTACAAACCAACACTTTAATATCGTTTTACTCGATTGTGTGCTCAGGCATGATGAATTTTTCTTAAAATATTACCGTTTCGATTCACTTTTCTTGCGAATATACCTACTGAGTTATTTATTTATTTTTCGTTTTCATCTTTTTTAGGGCAATCGAACAGCATCTCAGACGGGTAAGATTACGCTTGTGTTTGTTGTTGTGTAGTCTTTGTTTATAGTTTTGTTGTAAGCATACCGAGTCATTACACTTAAAAAGGTTTGAAATTAAAATACACAGCACTAGTACATTTATTGACTAACAATGCATTCATAATATTTGCATAAGTTTGACCAATTCTTAGCTATACATGGTTATATAGTCCATTCTACTGAAATCCTCAAGCAATAGAAACGGGCACTGAGAATAGCTTGGTAATATACTGCGAATTCGGTTATATTGTAATAAATATGTGGAGCAGTTTCTTTGTGGCTGTACATCTCATCTTTTTGACAGACTTGGATTAAGACATTAAATATCCCTCAGTACACTGATTATCACGAGGTCATTATTTTCACAAACAAACCAGTCCTACAGGAAGTCACTTGTATTTCTGAATAGCATAGTGATGATGGAATCTCTCACTCTCTACACGTAAATTTCTTTTTGTTTGCAAATCCGCCTTGTTAATGGCTATCAACAAGAAAGAAACCATAGTTAAACAGTGGTTTTTATTGATCGACTTCTATAATGTGTTGTCATTTTTCTTACACATGGGGAGAAATCAATAAAGGAGGCTGTGTAGCTACATCGATTGAGATGGTTAGGACATATGCCTAGCCATTGCCTTCCTAGATGGACAAAGTTAGCTGACATAGGATCAGGTTGCAAAAGAGTTGGCCAGTAGTGGTCAAATGAAAACATGGCCTCATCAGTCAATGAAATCCACAATAATTAGTTTAAGCCAGTCACATAGGAAGGTGTAGACTTCCTGGTTGGGGTCCTTGGAACAGTAAACATCAATGGCTGGAGACAATTGGAGATGTGGCTAAAATTCGTTCTCAATGGCTGGCGCAGATGCATCCACTCCCTGTGACTTATAATTTGCAATAAAACTATATAGTCCCTCTATATTAGCATTCTTTTGCTTTACATCTGTGTTTTGAATCTCTTTTTACTTTCTTCTCTTGTTTTGTGTGCTGAGAGAGAAGTGTGGCGACTCGGACTGCTCCACATCAGTGCATGTTGAAACCAGTCAGTTATACACTGAAGACTTCTACAATGTTCATTAACTGGTGTAATTATTTCTACTTTATCCTAAAGTGCGTCGGTGGCACAGTGGGTTAGGACTCTCGCCGACCATGTACATGGTCCGAGGTTCGATCCCCCGCCGACGCACACTTAGTGTCTATGGTCGGCCTGCCAAATTTGGGCTACCGATATCACATGCTGAAAATCCCATACTTTTACCAAAAATACAGTGTGGAATCAAGCTGTAATAAAAAATAAAGAGAATAGTGTTTTGAGGTATTTGGATGTCTGGGATCTCTAGAAGGATGTGATTTATTGTGTTAAGAGCTGTTGCATACTATCCAGTCGAGGTGGGCTGTATAAGTCAAGTGTTCAAGCCAATGAATCACATCTCCAACAGAGGAGAACTAAACATTTTTCAGGAATTATGGCGTGTGCGTTACATGCTTTCAATTTCCTCAGTGGTATGTCCCCTCAAGTCGAATATCCCAGTTTTTTTATATATGCGCAATCCTTTAGCTGTCTGTATACAGATATATATGACTTTTCATGGTTTTTCTCATTTTGTTTAGAATTAACTGTTGACGATGAACTGCAACGTTTCCGTACAGCTTGTAATCTACCTGTTACAAATGGAAATAATTCATGTAATGAGTATTCTAAGCCAGTAGCTAATGGCGTTTCGTAAGTAATATTTCAATGTTTGTATTGTAACACAGTCTTATATTATTTTCAAAATATGACTTAAGCATTTAGAAAGCCAGTATAATTGTGTTTTGGCCTATCATATGTTGTTCCATAATAAACTTAGTGACTGGAAATAATGCTTGTGACTTACTTGTAGGTGTAAAAGAATCCATGTTGCCTCTGTCTTGTTCATCGTCTATTTAATTTATTAAGGCTATAAATGTCAGTCATTGATAAAATCCTCATTTTTCTTATTTAGGGTCAAATAATAATTTATATATTTTTTGGTTAATAATGTTAGATAGTTCTCCTCGCTCCTGGATGGATTTCCTATAGTTTTAGTTAGAAGTCGTAGCCAGTAGTGGGGTCCACCATGTCAGTGCTCATTCATGGCATTAGTTAACTGTACTCTGCTATAGTGTGAATTGTTAGAAGTCAGAATTCACAGGTCATTGAGGCCTGACTTTTAGTGGTCAACGAACTTGGTCTCATAGCGTCTGAAGGCCTAGGGTTTTTTGTTCCCTGGTGGAGTCGTAGTTGCGCACTGATGAAGTGTCTCAAATTAGGGTGAAATATTTGCTTAGTGTTCCCTGATTTCATTTCGTGACAAAATTAAACACCTCGGTTTTTTTTTAATGCTTTTACTTCGCGCAACGAATATGCTTAGTGAAGTATTTTCTAATACCTAAAAATTACAACTTGATCTATACAACACTTACATTTCCTACAGCTCATGTGTATTCCATTGATTATTTGCTTTGCTTCTTATATTCCTAATTGATGATAAATGGATCGGAGTAGAATTATTTTACCTTCAAGTTCATCTCTTATTGTTAATCACGACAGATGGACTTCATGGCAGTCCACCAATCAATATGACCTAACCTTGTTTCTCGTGTGTATCATGTGATTATTAATTGTTTTGATGTAAACTCTCACCACTGGTGGTTGACCTTGAATTGGTATTGTATTCTATTTTTTTATATGTACGTAAATATAATTCACTAACTATATTCATCCACACATTAATACTAATCGGTATGTCTGTGTTCTTCTTTGAAGGACAGTTAGTTATCTTTGTATTGTTCCCTTCGTATCTGAGTTTTAACTATAGTATGTATGGCCTAGGCACTGTATCAACAGTATGAACAGTGAGGACAAAATATCTGTAGGCAAATTTAATCCTACACTAATTTATTTTTGTAGCACATCAAAACAACACGGAAGTGCCAATGCGTGTGAATTAGAATTATATATTTCAATAAATAAACAGAAGTGTATGAAAATTGGAAAGCTCAAAAATATAATAATTCCGGGAATGTGATAAAAGTTGAAACGTTTGCATACTCATGTGATCTATGTCATTGGAAAGACTGTAGTTATTGTTTTTCCAGTAACACATTTAGCATTTTGATCAGGTGATTGATTCACATAGTTCATACAAGTCGTTAATCTCCGTGTTTCGTGATTTGTTTAGCCATATTTAGTCTCCTTTTTCACGTGATCCAATACAGTACTACTATCTAGATATGATGAAGAAGATTTGTAGCTCAGGCGGATGATTTTCATGTAGTTGTGTTCCCTGAGCTGGATGGTTTATTTGTGAAGCTTCAATTGCCCAACTAGGCAACATCTTCAGTGCATACTTCAATCTCTTGAAGTAAGCGTTTAGATTTCGCTATGAGTTTATTAGTCATCTCTACTGGTGAACTTGAACGTGATTGGTCGTTTCTGTGTATGTTCACGCCCTCTAGATTACTTGTATTGGTATTGGTTTTGATTGTTTCCTTGACTTGAACTTTGACCCTTTGTGTGTGATATTTCCTTATCGATTAGTAAATTTTGTCTATCTCTATGTGTCTATTGATTGACGATTCATTGGAAAACCAGGTTTGTGAGAATTCTCTAGCATTCTTAGTATTTCACAGTCGACTGCGAAAAACACTACACTGACCGAAGTGGACGTCTTTGTATCCGCGATCGTAAACTAGCCGTCAAAAGATAGGACATTCACTCCCCCATGTCGCTACATTGACAAGCACGGACATCAGTTCGACTGGGACATCGTTTTAATGTTAGACAGCAAACACCAACGATGCTAGAAAATTTTCACAAACCTGGTTTTCCAATGAATCGTCAATCAATAGACACATAGAGATAGACAAAATTTACTAATCGATAAGGAAATATCACACACAAAGGGTCAAAGTTCAAGTCAAGGAAACAATCAAAACCAATACCAATACAAGTAATCTAGAGGGCGTGAACATACACAGAAACGACCAATCACGTTCAAGTTCACCAGTAGAGATGACTAATAAACTCATAGCGAAATCTAAACGCTCACTTCAAGAGATTGAAGTATGCACTGAAGATGTTGCCTAGTTGGGAAATTGAAGCTTCGCAAATCAACTATCCAGCCCATAAAACACACAACTACATCAAAATACTGCTGTATGTTGAGCAAAATAGTTTCAGTCGATGTTGGATAGTTTGTCTGTCTGTTTTCGACATAGAACTTTGCACATATGTGCGGCAGTTCAAGTCGCCACACTCCATGTAGCACACAAAGTAAGAGAAGAAAGTACAAGAAAAGCATAATAGAGACAGTAAACAGAGGTGTGAGACAAAGGAAGAGTAATGAAGAACAAAACAGTTTCATTGGAAATCATAAGTCACAGGGAGTGGATGCATCTGTACCACTGAGAACGATTTTGAGCCATGTCACTAATTGTTCCCAACCATTTATTTTTACCGTCCCGAGGACCCCAACCTATACCAGTTTGTACTATGCAAAATAACCTTATTAATTTAACCAGTGGTCATTTTATATTGTTCATAGAGCTGATCAACTAAAGCGTACATTACCATCATCTACTGTTTTACTAACCCGCATTTTACTTTACATAGATTTTAGATTTATTACAGAATGTAGTGTACTCACATCATATTTCATGCATAGTATTGATTCCGCGAAACTCATTCATTTTTCAATGACTCTGAAATAGAGATTAGTACGTTAGTCTTATAAACGGAAGATGCTAAGAACCAATGGCTGAAGACTATTGTTGAATATAGCTTAAAATGGTTCTCAATGATTCAGACGTGCATCCTCCGTATCCGTATTACTATTCTTTGTGTGCTACATCGTGAGTGTGGCAATTTGAACTGCTGCACTTCTGTGCAAGTTCTGTGTTGAAAGTCGGTCACTTTGTCTATTATTAGCCGTATAAAGCTCACTTCTCATAAGTAAGCCTAAGTATAAGATAGTGTCTGTGGGTGTGACATACTGTGTCGTATTATTGCACTGCATTTTATTTAGTTTTGTTAAAATCAGACTAGGGTTTCGTAGACTTGATAAAACAGATCTTAGCCGAAATAAACACCACCAATTACTCAATTAGTGAATTTTTGTTACTCTACTTGTGGATTTCGAATACTTGAATGTGATTCATGAATCACTAACCTATTTATAACTCTGTTTTGTTTAAATTCAGTTGTTAGGATGTTGTGATTAAAGAGAGGAAGAAATCTCTTATGTATTGTGTTTTTTTCTCTTTCAATTTTAGAAGTAATAAGAAAAATAAACCAGGAACTGGTTCATCTCATCCTGTCAATCATATTTCTGTTGTTGAGCTTGAAGAGAAATTACTTCAGGAGCATATATCTGTGAGTTATTGTTTCTCATTAGTGGTATTAGTGTTTACTTTAGTTATTTCCTTCACTGAAATGTATAACATACACATGTCGACAAAAATCAATAACATAGGAGACAACAACAATAATGATACAAGTGTAAATTTCAACCGTGTATCATTAAATATAACCATGTCCAACAATCGTATTGTAGGATATATATATATATATATATATATATATATATATATATATATATATATATATATATATATATGTAGAGTGCATTAGTTGATTGGTAAAATCTTCTTTAAATAACAAAGCTGTGACTCATTGGTGTATGTATTCAACTAATCGATCAGACGGTTGAATCTTACTGCAGCCGGATATGAACCTTAGTTCAGGTCCTTTTTAATTAGTTATTCAGATTTCTTGGATGTATGTCCGATTTAGTTTTGTTTATGTTCCACTTAAGATATTAATTAACTTTGGTGCTTAAGTTTGTAGTGTTGAGAATTCTCGCGAATAAACTGTCGCTATTCAATGCTTTATGTTTCGAGTGGAACATAGGGCTTCAACAGCACGTCTCCATTTTGTTCTGTTCTCTCTAGTCCCTTTCAGCTGGCCCTGCTATTGCCTAGAAGCTTTCATATTCTCTGTGTCACTCTCGGACCAACATCCAACTCGTCGTTTTCCACTCGGGTTCCACCGGAGGGTTTCCTCAACCTGTGGTGTGGGGCAGGTCCAACTCCATTTTCTTCTGAAAATTTGTTGAACAATAGTTTCTTGGTTTATTCGTTCCCAGAGTTTGGTGTTGCTATTTATTTTCGGTCATCTGAATTTCAATGTGGAGCGAAGTCAGTCAGCTGTTAGACGTGCTTTTCGTGACGCACCAAGTTGATGACCCTTTTAGAAGAACTGACTTAACATCTGTGTTTAAAATCTGAATTTCGTTCTCTGCGTTGAGTGTGGAAAATTTATAAACTAATTTAAGGGGGACGAATATCTGTCTGCCTTTCCGATTCTTGTTCCGCCTGTAGTTGTAATGATGTCTGTCTAGATAAATAAAGGAAGTGATGTCTTTCAAATTGCTTCCATTGAAAGCGACCGATACTTGTTGTTTTCAGTTGGTCATCTTCTGTATATTTACCTAAAGTCCTATTCAATGCTATTATTTCGTATAAATGCTTTTATTGATAAAATTGGATGCAGTAAGGATAACAAATTCTTCAGGATATGATGATTTGACTTCATCTATTTCCAAAGGAAGTGATAAATGTACAAAGAATATTGTTTTCGATAACTTTTTTCATCAGATTTTACAGTTATATCTATAATAATTAAGGAATTATTGTTACTGACAATAATTTTATAAAAATGCCATCTGATCAATAAAGTCACTGGATTATAGTTGCAGCTTGAAAGGTTTGTGTTGTACCCAGAATTCCGATTGTTTTATGGAGATTACTATGACTTCTTCTGTTCGGAATAGTGTCGGTATTTAAAGGCCTTTACAGATGTATTTGGTATCCCATAAGATTCTTCAATTATAACTTCTTGGCCTGTTTGGATAAGGTGATCCAATATCAAACTGTTGATGGTTTTTACTACACCTTTATTTAGTCACAGTCGTAGCTGTGTTCCCGAGCACGATAAATTGAGTTCAGCAGTAGTCAATATAATAATTGTCTCCACCAGTTGCATCGATATATACACCTTTAAGCATAGTGCACTGAAGATCACATGCTTTAATTCAACATGCAGTTATTCACTCGGGATGTCTTTGCTGTTGCTTAGTAGAGATAATAATGGTAATTGGACAACTTCCATTGTTCAGACAGATGAAAAAATTTGTTATATAAGAAATGATAACAGTTAAAGGATGAACAAAAACCGAATACTACTGATATAAAGCCAAGAGTAGGAAGCAAACATATGATAACAGCATAACAAAAATATTCATGATTAGCCTTGCTACGAAGGGTAACAAAACATAAACAATTCAAAATCCACAACAATATCATGACTGTTGTCTACTGGATTACGAAACACTTACACTACTGAAGACTTGTGTTTCTCACTGTCCTGGGTACTGCAAGCTTGACAGAGTAATACTCTCTGGGTCTGAACATGTATATCTTTCAGACACAGTTGTTGATGTGGTTTTGTTCTCTGAGCTGGATGGTTAGTTTGCGAAGCTTTCATCACCTTACTGGGTGACATCTTCAGCGCATACTTCAATTTGAAGTATGCGCTGAAGATGTCACCCAGTAAGGTGATGAAAGCTTCGCAAACTAACCATCCAGCTCAGAGAACAAAACCACATCAAAATCATCCACCTGAGCTACAAATCTTCTCTATCATATCTAAACACAGTTGTCTTGCATCAGTTATCTAATATATTAGTATTATCTCCTGTCAAATTAACCAAACTATACCGATTTCTCTTGGATATTTAGATAACAAAACTGTTTAAGGTTGTTGAGCAGTTGGAAAAAAATTCGTAGGACAAAATGATAAATTCATTCTGCTAAGTATGTTCTTGCTAACAGTTCATATTTTTAAATAGGGAAAACTATGCAGTATTGCTTATATATTCCCTATCGTAGTCAACAATTTTTCAGTGTGCGTTTATAAAAGTTAAGTGTTGCTCATTTTTTTAATTCTCCTAATGTTCAGGGCTGATAAAATCCCAATTTTTGGCTTTCTTAGCTGTATTCCAGTTAAAATTAAATTTTATGTCAATTACTATAGTAAATCATTCGATGGAAACATTTTCATTTCATACCACTTTAGATATCCAACCTTTCCTCTCTTCTGGACTTTTGGTTAAGCGAGGTTTAGTAGTGCTTTGGCCGGGAATTGAACCTTGAGCATCCGATTGGCTACTGTGTATTCTACTATTAAACTATCGATAGAATAGTAATAAATAACTCATCTGTCTGTCAACTGGCTCCAAATTATTAGGAAAAACTTGACTAGACTGTTATACAGTAGTATTAACTGATGACGTTCCGACGTTTAATATTACTGTACAATACTGTGTGATTTATCAAAATAAAATCTTATCCATAACGGAGTTATACTCTACCACAGTGCCTAAGTTTTATACTTGTATCAATTGACTAGACTGTATAGATTTAACAGTCTGGTTCATTTTTGGGAAATATCTTGATACTAATGAGTGCTAGATGTATTAGATGAGATTTTATTTTGACAAATCACACAGTGTTATACAGTAATATTCAACGTCGAAACGTCATCAGTTAATACTACTGTATAACACTGAGCACTAGATGGTTTGAGATATTCGGCAGGATGCCCTGAACCAACGTTTTGAGGATTAGCTGTCGCTTGCGAGTAGAGTATATCTGAAGTTTTTAAGGAGTTCATATGCCCTCTGATATTGGAACCCGCATCACCCAAAAGGTGTTACCACTGAGTTATTTGGGCTCACGATTAACTTCCTACGAGACGCATTCATTGATCACTAGAAAGTAACTAATATCAGTGTCAACGTCCCTGGGAGCAGCACTGGTTGAGTCGGGTTCTAGTCTCAGAGGGGACGCAGGGTCCTTCAGTGTGGTAGATACATCTTACTGGTGAGTACCAACAAGTGCGAAACTGGTCCAGAGCTTCGCGTCGATTGCTTCCAATCGTCTAACTTCAATTCAGAGTGGACTACGATGGCGTGCCACCTAGCTTGGTGAGGAAATTGACTGACAGGATTCAGTCTACACCAAGGAATAGACGCATGAAATTAGTTACACCCTAGTGACCCATCAATGGGTGCATACTGTTGACCGGTTCCATTGCTGCTGAGTTCTCAGTGGTTCTCTAATTCATTTCGATTTTCTACGAAAGTAATCGAATCTCTACAAACATTTGTAAATAATAAAAATTGTTGTTAAGTCCATAGCAATAGATTACCGTTCTGCTTTCACATTTTTCAGCTTGTGAAATAAAGGATTTGCTAATTCAGTGTGTTATTATTGTTTCAACTCTCGATTCCCTTTAAGCTCTGAGTCATATATTATTTGTTTGTAATGACATACATCTTTATTCGTATATAAGTTTCATGAAATTTGATTGCAACACTCACTGAACGCACTGGAATATGATTGTAGTTAAAATGTAGTGTATACAGTCACATAACGCATAATTTGGATGCTGGAAGGTTAACGCTCTTGTTACTACGGTACTGCTTGACTCAAGAGATACATTAACTGAGCAGTTCATCGAATGATGACTTTATGCGTCTTAATCTTGAGTCACGTGGCCGATTTTGAAATTTTTGTCAATTAGACACGGGTAACATCGAGGCCTTCACACGTTATAATGTGTAATTTATTCTGTAACTGACTGTCTTTGGTGCACTTTTTCTTTGGATTTTTTAATTTTTCTGCCACGCATTTTCATCAGTTTTAGTACTTAGTGACACGAGTTACTTTCCAACAGTTTGATATTTATATCACGCTAATTTTAAATTATTATGTCATATATTCCGTCATCCCCAATTTCTCTAGGCTCCTAAAAGTGTCAATCAACTGATTTCACTATCAAAGCTTTCTAATGAATTAAAAGCAGCAACACTAACAGACGATAGTTCTACAGATGATCAGGGTTTATCACATGCATCGGCTTCAGAATCTCCTGCGCATCGTCATCAAGCACGTAGAGACGGTCACTTGGATCGAAATCGTCGCTTACTCAGTGATGATGCTGGTTATATCGATGATATGGAAAGTGAGAGTAATCAAGATCGTAATTTGCCAAAGTCCTATGGTGTAGGACTACGTAAACAACGACGACATTTACGTCATCAACAAGATAATTTATCTGATGAAATGATTTCACCATCTAATAGTCGGTTAACCAGTCGTAATAAGTCTACAGATAACAAATCAATATGTGATACGATTATAGGAGAGGAAATACTTGTTACGCCTGATATGTTAACTAATCATCCATCATCTATTTTATCGGCATTCGATCGTGAACTGAAACGTGATAAGCATGCACTTGGTAGTAGTGGTTCATTCCAAGAAAATAAAACTCCCACCATATCCACAGAGAGAGCACTTTCCAGTGAATGTCTGACAAAAGATCAATTAAAAGAGACCCTGATCCATCTTTTGCAAGTAAGTTCTAGTTTATTTCATTTATATTTTCTGGTTAATCGAAATCTATGCCTCCAAGGTCCATTAGTGTAGCCATTCTGTCTCTCCACTCAGTGAATTGGAAATTCGTTTAACCTATTACTACTATTATTGTTATTTCGATTCCAGTTGTTAGATTTGTTCACGAACCAGTATCACAGTTAGAGATGTGATTGAAAACAACTGTTTCATCTTTTTGTGACATTTTTAAGCAGTGCGCACTCACAACCACCGCACTCCACCAGAGATTGGACCTAGAACCTTCAGGTTATAAAAAAAGCAAGTCTGTTGACCATTCAGCTACTTGAACTGAAATTCAGTAATGACTCGTGAATTCTTCGTCAATTCGTGATATAGAGCTACCTTCACCAATGTCTTCAATGACACTGTGGTGGTGGACCCCCCACTGGGTTACAACAACTTTCCAGGACATCCATTCAGTAGCCGTCAGTGGTCTGGAGATTAATGGTTCTTGAAGAAATCTGACAATCAGAATTAAATTTATCCAAATCTCACAATCTTGTTATGGCTGTCACAATATGTACATTAAACCGTTAGCATTGTTCAAGTTATTCATGCCTCCGTAAAAATATCTCTCGTCGTTTTCGAGGATCTGTGCTGTCGCAAATTACCTGTCCTTAATTGTTCTAATAACACGCATCAAAGATGAAAAGGTTTTAGAGATTAACTAGATATCAAAGATGATGATAGTTAAGTACTTGTATATTATATAGAGTTACCATTATTAAGGAGAATTAATTAACTGTATGAAGCAGAACTCTTCTTCATTCCTCTACGTTCCGAGTGGAGCTTGAGGCCTGGAGTTTCAATAACGGGGTGCTGTTGTTTTTACAGGGTAGAGTTACTAACCTCATCCAGCTGGACTTATTTCCGACTAAGCGAGGTTTAGGGGGTAAGTCTGCCGAGAGTCGAATCCGTACCACGCGTGTTTGTGGGTGTGTGTGTGTGTGTGTAGTTGGCGAGTGTTCTACTGTGTTGAAAGCTGGCTGCTAACCGAAATTGGTAGACAGTAATTTACGTCAATATTTTACGTTCCCAATATTGGTCGTGAGAAAAATAATAACAAAGGCTGATTCATCAACAATCACTCACAGCAGACTTTGCATACGCGGATACAATTAGCAGATAGATAATCTGAACTTCAAGAAATGGGCACAAAGAGATGAAAGATTAACGTTCAACGAGAAACCACCAATCAGAAGACTGTGTTTACTTGCTTACAATAATCTGTAATAATGTACATGAAAATCTATAAATATGTGTTGATTTCCTGAATAAACGATCCATTGCCTGGCCCTTGTTTTCTTTTGTTACACTACCACTGAACTACCAACGTATATTCAACCATAACTAACCAACAGAAAATTATAATATTCATTATTGTTTTTTGTTGTTATTTTGCTTTACATTACAGACGGATGACGATTTTGTCCACCGCATCCATACCGGTTATGTTAGCGTATTAGAGAGAAGATTATCCAGAAATTAGCACATGCAATACAACAACACATCCTTTTGCTTCTTTTTTCTTTTAACGTATCTTTACGTTGTCTTTTTTGCATTAACCTTAGTAGTGTCAGTTTGATAAAACTAAAACTCGAAGAGATGTGTCGGTGGTAATTGTAGAGTTGTATTAGTAGTAGTAGTAGTTACCTTTCTCGTTGTTGTTCTCTCTCGTTTTTGCCATCGATCTGGTAAATTCTCATGGAACTAAAGAAAATAACATGTTTTTCGTGTGTGTGTAGCTGTTATTTCCATATTTATCATCATAGATAATGGACAGTTATATGAATATTTGTTTTTTTCTCTTGGTCTGTCACAATATCCTATCTGTATTCTGCATTCACAACTAACTGACTTCCAAGCATTTATTATTTAGTCATTTTTTGTAAGTTTCAGTAGACATTTTTATCATCATTCTTGTTGTTATTTATTATTACCATTAGAGGATATGTACATTATAGCATCATTATTACTATTATTACTATTCTTGTTGTTGTTGTTGTTGTTATACGTGTACACATGTATTTGGAGTTGATTAACATTCCCTTGTTATTGTTATCCTGTGAATGATAACTACACATGATCCAGTTAGTCGGTTGTTGTACATTTCGCTTCCTGTTTCCGGTAATTGGATATTCTATTACATTTTATGGGTTTTTTTGCGGGATACCTGTTGAGGCGGTGTACCGTATCATTGTCGTCATTATCATAATGAGATATAAAATTGTTGGTTTGAAGGTAAAGTGTTCATTTTCAACCGTTTTCCTGAGTATTTCTTTGTTTTTTGCATTGTTGACCTCTCTCTCTCTCTCTCTTGGTCTGTCTCTGTCCCCCCTCCCCTACTTCATCAGGATAAAATAACAAATGTAGACATGACAGATTTTAACCACTTGCATGTGTGTTAAATTAAATCGTGTTGAATTAATTGTGCGTATATATTATATATATATAACTAGCTAGCATTATCAAATACCATTAAATGTAATAATCTGCTCAAATTTTTTCACTGACATTGATTTTTTTCTCTCTCTCTTCCATTTAGTTCATTTTTCTGAAAATAAAGCTGGCAAATCAATGATTTTTCTTAAAAAGAAATTTTCTATTGGACTAGAAACTTCAAAAGTACAATACTGTTAGCCTGGTAAACCGAAAACTAGGCTGTATCCTTTCACCTATGCATTTCCGAGAAAATTAGCTCTCAGGATAGAGGCCTTGAAAGCTGAAAAGAACACTTCGAGGAACTATTTAACTTGCCTACAGCCACACTGTACCTCTCCGCCAACCAGCACACACCCGAATAGGATATAGACACTGGTCCGCCGTCTGTAAGTGAGGTCACAAAAGCTAACTGTAATTTGAAACGAGGCAAAACGGCGGGACCCGACGAAATTATTCCGGAAGTGTTTAAATATGGGGGTGACATACTAGTATGTGGATTAACTAAGGTACTAGGCAACGTCTTGGAATCGGAGACGGTTCCATCAGACTGGGGTAAGTCACTTATTATACCGATACTCAAGAAGGGAAACAAGTCCTCATGTAATAATCATAGGGACATCAGCCTAACGAGCATAGTTTCTAAAATCCTAGGCTTAGTAATCATGCACAGACTAAGCAGAACTCGGGAGGAACAAACGAGGGAAAATCAAGCAGGCTTTAGACCAGATAGAGGGTGCATAGATCATATCTTCACTCTCCGACAGATTCTAGAATACTTTTCGGCGTCCAACGATTGCCATATTTCTTGATTTGAAGGCGGCCTTTGACTCCGTAGATCGAAAGGTACTATGGCAATGTCTGACTGTGAAGGGAGTGCCAAGAAAGTACATTGCACTAATCTATTCAAACTCACGTAGCCGTGTAAGGGCTTATGGGGAATTGTCATCTGAATTGATAACAACCAGTGGTGTCCGACAGGGATGTCCACTTTCCCCATTTCTGTTTAACTTCATCATAGATATGCTAATGGAAGTATCCTTAACTGAACGTAATGACTCAGGAATCGACTTGTTACCAGGGAATAGTCTTATGAACTTAGAATATGCAGATGACATAGTCCTGTTAGAGGAGGATGCTGACAAAATGCAGAGTCTTCTGAACACCTTGAGCAGCAATCTTCGTATGTTTGGCATGCGATTCGCCCCTCTAAAATGTAAGATGCCGCTACAGGACTAGACTACGTCAACTTCTAGCTTAGTGATAGGGGGTGAAGTGATAGAACATGTTGACCACTTCACCTATTCGGGATGTTGTATCTGCACCAACGAACTGATTGGCGACGAAATCTCAGCACGGATCCGAAAAGCTCGAGCTGCTTTCGCTGACTTACACCATCTCTGGCATAGGCGTGACATCCGGCTATCAACCAGGGCACGTGTGTACTGCTCAGCAGTTCGCTCAGTCCCTCTCAATGGCTCTGAAACATGGCCAATACAAGTTAAAGACCTGAAAAGATTGACTGTTTTCGATCATAGATGTTTACGATCTCTATCTCACGTTAGGTGGCATAGTAAGGTAAGTAACGTTGACGTTAGTCGTAGAGTGTTGGGCAAAGAGGGAAAACCAATCGACCAGTCTATAATGTTACATAGATTGAGATGGCTAGGTCACGTGCTGCGCATGCCTAACCACCGCCTCCCCTGACGGGCATTGCTAGCTGATATAGGTGCAGGTTGGAAAAGAGCCAGTGGTGGCCAAACAAAATCATGGCCTCATCAATCCATGAAATCCTTGACAGTTAAACTGAGTCAGGTAGGGAGATGCAGACTCCCGCGTTGGGGGCCTCGGGACTCTAGGAATCAATGGCTGGAGACAATAGGTGACATGGCTCAAAATCATTGTCAATGTCGCAGATGTATTCAGTCTCTGTGATCTTTCATATTTCTTTCTACCATTACCCATTCTGTTTCACTCTTATACTTGTCAGACTGTGTTGATTCCCTCCACTCATCTTCTTGTCTACCTTAGTGTTCTATTTGGAACGTGACAACTCGAACTGTTGCACTTCGGTGCCAAGTTCTATGTTGAATCCAGACAGAGACAGACAGACTTCACTTATGCGTTTTTCGTTGTCTTCCAGAGAGTGTTGAATGATTGTTCCGTCCTGATTTGGGATCATCGCTCATAGAGGAAGGAGGGGACTCAGCTAACAAAACACAGTGTTAATCCATGCAGCTCTATAATCTCACCGATTAGCTTCAGATCTTTTCTCAGCAGTATATATATATATATTAACCGCCTAACATGAGCAAAACACCTATAGTCTCATTTCTTTCACCTTCGACAGTTGTGTCTCGCAGATGGTAAGCCAGACGAAGCGAATCGCTACTCAGTACGCTCATCCTTTAGTGGATAGATGAGTTTCACGCGTAAACCAATAATGATTATGATGCAGGTTGACAAACATCAATTGGATCTTTTATGTGTCTATTGCATGAGTTCGTTCCATGAGGCGTTGGTACAACTCCTCTAATAAGTCAAATAGTCAATGCATCCAATCATTTCACTGTGTGTTCTTAAAACTGGAGTTGGTGTAGACCAGTGCTTCGTCACCATCTATCCTTGGCGCAACTGCTGCTGTAAAGCTCTTAAGGGTTCTGTAGTTGAAGGCAGTTAGTGACAAAAATAACTTCTATTAAGCTAATCGATTATTCATAAATCGTTCAGTTGACTATTTGTAGTTTCTTAAAGTGGATTACGTATAAGCAAATAAGTAACTGTGTGTACTAATTGATGTATCCAGGGCATTTCTGCTCCGTTCATGAGATTTGAAATGTTTTTTATGGTGTTAAAATAGGAGATTAATGGAATAATGTTGAATCTGTCTTAAGTCTACCTTTATCACAGCAGCGTATTTTTAATTCTATGAGATGTCAGATGTACTACAGATTTTATGATATTTACCAATCAGTCCCCTATCCAAACAAATAGTGTCTTACTATTGAAAGACTATACAGTGTCATTCTAATAAGCACAACAAAACCCAGCAATGAAATGACAGCTAACACATTTGCGTCACATCAGGTCGTTATGCATCTAAAGCTGCAGTTAAGTGAAAGAACAGAAGATCACATTAGGCTTATCCCCCACCTTCTCTATAGTGTACCTTGACTTGGCACTTCCTTCTATGGTGTGACCTGAACTCACTACATTTTTATCCAATTTCGTAATTACTCGTCATCCTATTCACCTTTTGCCTTTATTACTTAACTCCTTTGCCACTCTTTCCAAGCTTTTATTTTTTAGAAAGCGAAAGGATTGAGCGAAAAAATATTTAATTTTCAATTAGATCATTATCTCCGACTCTACTTTAATACATACAGCATTTTCAATACAATACACAAATATTCGCCAATCAAGTGGACCCTTAGCCACAGAGTTACAACGATATGCTCAGAAGATGTAAATGAAAATGAACTGAAGATACATTGATTGAAAATAGCTATCCAGACAAATTGATTAGGAAACATTTGACTAAGTATGTGGAAAAGGACTATTGATTATCCGTAAACAAAAAACCCTTATACATACCACTGCAGTTCAAGGGTGATATATCTAGCGAAATAATCACTAAGAAGTTAAGAAAATCAGTTGAATGAACTTTAAATGATGGTGAACTACAAGTCTTATTTTATACACGACTGATGGTGCTACCTCGACTGAAAGATGAAGTACCTAGACTAGGCTAATTTAATCCCTGTAGAGAGAATTATATTGGCAGTTACTCTAGGGACTTGATTTTTCGTGCTCGCTCGGGAACATCTACCAGTGTGGTTAGATAAAGATGTAGTAGAAACCATCAACAGTTGAATATTAGACCAGCTGGTCCAAACTGGCCACAAAGCCACTATTGAAGAATCCTCCTCTATCATCTACCAGGTACTAAACAAATCGTCAAAAACATGGAAGTATCGCATGCTCCGGACATCACAGGCTATCGTGATTCGCCCTAAGCAACTGATGCTCTGTTTGCAGAAGAAGCAAGTTCAGCCAGCACTACTACTGCTCTGGCCGACATTCATTGGAGACTATTAACTCATGAATTTGTATTATTAATAATTTTTCCTAATTTCTCTGATATTCATTCAGTGTATTGTTATGTTGATGCTATCGAACTGTAATCCACTGATATCATGATTATTATTGTTATTGATTCGATGTTATTTAAACAAAATTAATGTTATTAATAACATTAATTCACTCACTATTTTTGTATAACTGTAGAACCTGATGAAGAGCAGATTATCGAAGAGAGTATTCCTTGTTCAGCAACCATTCTTTTGAAAAAGCTTGTAATGGGAATTTTTATTAGTTAAAATTGTGTGTTGTAACAAAAATGCTACATACGTTAGAGTAGAGCCAGAGATGAGAATCTAATTGAAAAGTAAATATTTCTTCACTCAGGTAACTGGCTGCCAATCTGTATCAATTCTTTCACTATCGCACTTCATATCGTGTCTTGCAGTACTGAAAAAATCCATAAGTAGTATATAGAGGGACTTTCATTGTCATAAAAACATCGAATAGCAAGGAGAGAGATTTGATGCTAAAGAAAGCAAATGATACAGTATTTCGGGGACGTGAGAGAAACACAGTAGGTAGGCTAGAATTAGCAGGCACAACACGGAAGATCTGTGCAAATGGTGCGTACACAATTTGGCTATACCAGTGATACGGAATCGCGAATAAACATTCCTTTACCTAGTCTTTCGTCTTCTACCGTTCCAAAAGTACTTATATAGATTACTACAAGAAGAAAATACCACAGAAGAAGCTGACAGACTGGGGAAAGAAATACAACTAAAATGCATTCTAATCACTATTGTTTTTTATCTGGTAACTCCATCTTTAGTGTGTCGAATAAGGAAGAATGTGAACCATTGTTTGTATTTTACACACGTTTTTTTCTGAACCGTGAATGTTTTCTGTGTGCATATTTTGTTAATGCATATGAAAAGGATCAGAAATTGTGAACATGTGATTTAAGTTCCTGTTCAAACATGACCATGTTTAATCATACTTTGGATTTGTCTTATCGTAACAATTGATAATCAACTGATAACATTCGTATATAGTGTCAGAAGATAAACAAGAATGCTAATACACCTCTTACTACCATCGGAATCCTTCAGTTTTCCGATCTGTTGTTGATGAATAAAATGAAGACCTAATATTAACTAACATTCAGATAAATAGAGTTATCTCTCGTCACAGTTGTTTTTTAAATAGGTGTATTCTTGTAACACTAAGTATTGTAAGATCTGACCGTCATCAAGTTTGTCAAAGTCGAACTTCTTCCAAGTAGTTTAGTATTTCATTGTATTGTGCCGACAGAAGACAAGGGCAATGCAACAGATTGTTTATTGGGAAAATCAAGATATATTTATAGATTTCTATGTACATTATTATTGGCGTTATTGTTAGCAGAGAAGCAACGTTTTCTGATTGGTTGTTTTCTTGTTGAAGGTTATTCTGTATCGCTTGTGACGATTGCTTACCAAGTTATCTATATATCTGCGAATCGTATCCGCCCACGCTAAGTCTGCTATGATTGGCTGTTGAGTTCCTCAAGGTTAGGCTTTGTTCTTTTTTTTTCGCATGACCCCGATTCGTGATGTAAATATAGACTTTAATTGTTTACAATTTTGGCTTACAGACAGCTTTCACCACAATATTACTGAAACATCTCGATTCAAATCCAACTACTTTATGCATGTAGAAATTTATTTTGAAGTAATCAAATGTCTTTTTTTGTTTTGATACATCACTTATAATTAAGTTGAAGATTATAAGAAATTATGTCGGTATACATGTAGAAGGTGGAAATTTAACATCAGCGGAACTTAGACAATTTGAATACGTCAGTAGCAGATAATTTAGCATTGGGAGTATTAAATGGTATCAGAATAATTCATGTGATCAATAAAGTAAATAATCACCTGATGTTTTTACCACTTTATTTCACATACGAAAATCTAAGGGAATTTCTCTCGAAGTTTAAAGTATTATTAACATTTAACACATGATTTATTGCTGTGCATGTTTCGAAACAATGTTCAGCCAGCCCATACGCCACAGCGTCTGGTCAATAAGACTCTCTGTTAACTAGGTCTTAAGTTCCCTCTAACCGAGGTTTCCAAAAACGGTCTAAAGAAGGAGGGACGTGAGAATTTTTATTCAACACCGTCCTAACTATTAGTTGATGATCAGCTTTCTGATCCTAACTTCAAGTATTGTGTTGTAATGGAAGAGGACATGGAACTTAGCGACGAAATGTTTATTTGCAATTTGATATAAATATACAGGGAAGTTATGTATATCTTCCGTGTTGTGCTATTTCTGGCCATCACATGTTGTGTTTCTTTGTCTTCTTTCGGTGACTCCCGTGTTTTGTTGC